GGTCAAGATGCGGTTGTCTTGCATAATTAATCAGCGAATCTGCTCAAATGTTACAGACCATGGTTTCGCATTATTACATAGAATAGGTATCTGTGGGTTGAAATTCAAAATGAAAAGTACGAACATGCATTTGTTAAACTTAAAGCTCTTTAAAATCGATTGTCCAATTCCATTCAATTTTTTTTTCGCACACAAATTAACAATCAGTTCCTCAAAATTGGGCCCAGAAGCTTAACATTTTGGACAAAATTTACCTGTGTAATAAACAGTTAACGCTACTTTGTTCGATTTTACGGCATGAATACTTGACTTTACGGAGGTGCATATAATCAAAGCAGATGGAAAACATCAAAGTTTGACCAACATCATGATCGTTTTTTATAGATTTAGACAATTACTTATTTTTCTTGCAAACACAATGATATTTATGTTCTTCGACATAATTATACCACACAAAATGTTCAAAGTACCACGTAGGCCTCCATAGATTCAAATTAATTCCTTCATCCCAAGCTCCGCGAAATCGAAATTTAATTGCAATAAATCCTCTCGCCCCGTCAGCTTTTCCCCCGATTAATTCACGGTTTCAGAAACAACTTATCACCCTCCCGCGCCGAGATTCCAAGGCCGGCAGGACCATCTAAGAACTTCGTACGTCACTTGCGACACATTCGCCCCCAAAAATCAATCCCTATAAATAACAAAAAGTACTACATAACTTTAAAAGAAAAAAAAATGTATTCTATCTTTGATTTGAAACCGTGAATATTAAGCGAGCGTCATACGCGAACCGTGAACAATTTGATGGGAAAAAAAGGAGTAAATAAAAATTGCCTGGAAAATGTCCGGGCTTTTCGCGCCGGCTGACACCTGTCGTCGGAGCGATCGACCGGGGAAAATTGATCGTTGGCCCGGGAAGCTGGACTAGTGTTTGCACGGTGCTGGGTTAGAGAACCCCGTTAGTATGGTGTAAGAGGAACTGCCAAACACACCAGAAACTTCAGCTAGCATGGAAAGTCACTGGTGTTGTTTGAACATTAAAGTGAGATGTATGGATTAGTTAAAAAAAAAAAAAATACTCACGGTAAAACGACGTTAACCTATTGGCACTTAATTGATTAGAGTTGAAAGATTCATGCACTTGTTCAATCCGTACAAAAACATTGCAAAGTTAACACAGCGTTAAGGTCAATCCATATAATCGATAGAGTCACACTTTATTTACAAACCATTGTGGAAAACAAACTAAAATCAAATATTTAGGAATAAACTGGTATTTTTGAAGTCATACTCAAGTGATAAGTCAACCAACAAATTGTGAAACGAGAAAATTTATCATACAGGGTGAGTAAAAAAAAAACCAAATGGCAAGACCAATTTTTGAATGAAGTTTTATCTGGAGCACTTTCAAAATCTAGGATATGAAAGCCAAATCAATGAGCTTTTTTTTAGTGCTAGAATCATTCAAATCACTTATGCACTTTCCAAGTTACGGAATTTTGAACACAAACACCGTTTTAAAGTTCTGTCCACGGATCACACAAAAAGGAAGTGTTCTTTCAGCAAAACGAAAACAATTCACATGCATCCCCATGAGAATTGTTTTCGTTTTGCTGAAAGAACACTTTGTTTGTGTTATCCGTTGACAGACGGTGTTTGTGTTCAAAATTCCTTAACTTGACAAGTACATGGGTGATTTGAATGATTCTTGTACTAAAAGAAAGCTTAATGACTGGGCTTTCATATCCTAGATTTTGAAAGTGCTACAGGCAAAACGTCATTCAAAATTGGTCCTGCCATTTGGGTTTCGGGTTTTTTTTTACTCACTCTGTACCGTTTAAGAACTACGAATTCCATTCGCGGGCATGTGAACATAAAAACCGTTCTTCTTTGAACATACATGGCTTCATTGTGTATGCGCGTAGCAGGACGCATCAACGCGCATAATTCACATCGATTTACATGAACGCGATGCATGATCAACATGAAATCTTAAAGCAATTCTTGTCGAGTGATGAATCTCATTGAAAGAGCGGCTCGGCCGAAATAATCAGCCAAAATGTTAAATGTGAACGCCGGAAATTGAATTCGTTGGGTTGCGTGTTTCAGGCTGAGTTAATGATAGGATGCAAAAAAAATTCAAGATGGAAGGAGCGTACAGAGTTACTCGCCGGATATTACAGAAGTTTGAGCGGGAAACTGCGGCAAAAGTTAACTTTAGGCATCCTAGTCAATTTAAAAGCGTCTTCTCCATTTTCATAAAAAAAAAATATCTGGCTTTGTTGACTTTGCTACTTTGCAAATTTCGTGTTAAATTACAAGGCGTTGCAAAATTGTGAAAGCTAAACACGATTATAGGCCTACTAGAAAGAACTCAGAGGTCGCAAATCTCCACCGGGTTAAACAATTTCCCGCCATATTGTCAGTACACCCAAAACAAATACTCGCATATTGAATGGTGACGAACCCTTAAAAAAATATCCTGGATCCAGACCCAGATCCGAATCACTTCCAAAATCTAATTGATTTGTACTTGTATACCAAGGAACACCCCTAAAAAGATTTTCATGCAAATCCGTCCATAACTTTTTGAGTTATCTTGTTAACAGACAAACCAACCAACCAACAAACAAACTAACTAACCAAAGGCAACCAACCAACAAACTAACCAAATCCAATGAAAACATAACCTCCTTTGCGGAGCTAATAAACAGTGCATTGAGTTGTTATACAGTTTTTCTGAGTTCAATTTCAAAGGTCGTGTTTTTTTTTCCTTTTTTAATTTGATAAACCAAAGAAGTTTGTCTTCAGATTAGAAAAAAAATGCTCTATTACGCAACCTCGAACGTCGCATAGCAACCGCCATTGATACGCCTCCTACTGCGCAGACTCGTCGACCTTTGCCCTCGGTCCGGCGTACCTACGAAAACTCTAAAAGGCAACGAACTCCGTCCCACGAAATCAACGATTGAATTATCTTTTACATCCGCGTTGTAATTTTGCACGTAGCGACGCCAAGCGGATTTAATTTCCTCCCCGCCCGGGCAAAGGTATTCACAAAATCCGAAAGACACACAACAACTTAATCAAATCACTCCACCATTTCACCCAAAAGCCGTCAACAAAAGGCTTCAATTTTCGTGTGTTGGTGTTGTTCTTTCGAATTAAATTTTCATCGGGGAAATTGTTGGCAGAGCGCACGCAGTGATTTTGGCAGTGATTTTAATATCGCATTCGTTGACTCATCGCAATTAATTTGCTCAGTGTCCGGGTGGTCGTTGCGGAGTTGCTTCTGCTAAACCATGGGCAGTGATGTAATACGTATACTGCAATTACTGATAGCTCGAATCTCAATGTGACGTTATGATCTACACGCATTACGAAATTCATAATCATAGTCTGCCATGCCATGGTTGACAACGACCACAAACCATGCGTAATACTAGATAGAAATTAATATCACAAAGCGAAGACTTCCATCGTAAGTGCGATGACTTCCCACAATATTAATCACATTTGGCACGATATCCATGACAAAGTCATAATTTCCGGCTATGATTTATAATGAATGTGTCTTATTTTGTCAATGTTGGCTATTCACACGGAACCGTAAACATAAGGAAGAGCAACATGTAATACTGTTGTCTGTTCCCGAGTGGTGTGTGGTTCTAGTTAAAGAACGTACCAGGCCCACTAAACGGTATTCTCTTTTGACCATCGTACCCAAATCTGTCATTTTTTTCCTCAATTGTTTGCCAGGAACGACTGGGAACATTATAAACAACGGAGGACAAAGAGAAATGATTATGGATGAGTCATGAGGCATGAGACCCACATTTCTGCTTTAGGAATTGGAGTCGATCATAATTTATATGTAATTGATTTATGAATCGAATTTAAAAATTGATGTGACGTGCGCACGCATGAGCAGTGACAAGCATCATTTCAAAGTTTGCGCGCGCAGAATTCTTTCAATTTTGAGTTTTGACGCAAATCTGCAACAGATTTGCCGCTCGCGGAAAAAAATCTTCAAACTAAATTTGAATTTTAAATTCAATTGGTATTCAACCGGGAGTGATGATTCAAATGTAAATATGCCGTGTTTAAGTTTCCAAAATTGGTGGGAAAAGGGCACTTTTGGAAAGTTATACGCGCAAAAAGCTTTTATAATCTTGAATTCTTAAACAGCGTGCACGTTCGAGGCCAGTATTCAACGCACCATAGCACAAGTCACGTAGCATTACATTCGAAGAGTAAACGATTTTTTTCTCCAATTTTTCCGTTTTCCTTTCCCAATTCAGTGAAACTCTGCGCCGCCGACAGGTACACGATTCATTAGAAAACTCATCCACCTCTAAATTTTATTTTAAAAAAAATTTAAAAAGGGTTTGTCCGATTTGCATGCCTTCTTCATTGTAGGTTTACTTAAAAAAAACATTTGTTTTTGTATCAAATATCGATTTCTTTTGACGTTTGCCAAAATCAAGATCATTTCTTATAAAAGTATTATTCCAGAACGAACTATCTACAAAAAATGATTTAAATTTCGAAGCCTGGTAAATAGGACTTGCTTGTCTACAATCATATTTTAATGAAAAACAACAGCTTATATATTGCTGCGTCGACCACTGCTTCAATAATTTGCCCCGCCCCCTATCAGAATTGTGGAAACTGAGAACAAGAATTTTTTTTTTATAATTTGCTTGAAAACTGACGTGATTTTTTTAAGGTGCTTTTATTTCGGAATTTTGTCCTTTCAAACCTTCCGTTTTTCTTTTCTTAAAAATGTTTTGTGATGTTGTTAATTATGCATCTAAACATGCATTTCGATCAGAAAATGATGGTTTTTTTGTAAATAAAATGTAGTTATACATTCCGCCCACTATATGAATTCATTTTTTTCTCTTGTGCAAGGCCATTTCTGCAATACACCCACAGGCGCCAATTTATAACCAAAACCAAAACAGAACAATACAGGATTAATGCCAGACAATACTCACGTTGATATTTCTGTCCAGCATCGTCACCCCCGAATCCTTCTTTGTCGCCCATGCCCATGTTGCTCGCCACGCGGTAGCGTCGACCGCCCACACTCGCGAGCTGCGATATTCAACCTAAAAACCAACCCTCCCTGTTCCAGCTGTCAGTTCACAATCAGCATCTCCGAGACAATTTTCCTCCTCATCTGATGTTTTTCTTTCACGCAGATCAGTCCTCTTTGCTCCTGCATCAAAAATCTCACATAATTATCGAGATTGTGGAAATTGTCTTTGCCACAATCAGGTTTTTGGTGATGCGATTATTATGCAGTGTCTACACGGAGAATTTCTTGTTCTCTGTCTGGCTTTGCGTCAATGATGCAGCGGAGCACACATCTCAGCGTATATCCTGAATCCACACGCATCAACCGGTGGATGGGTCCTCCTAATGCAATTTCGTGTAAGAGCATGCACTGCGGCGGTCTACTGGGAATCGGCGCTGCCTCGCGTTCGATCAGTCTAATTAGACGTGACGAGTCGATTGGGGGCGTTCTTCAACTTCTGGAACAGCCAGAATCGGTCCACCACCACAGTTTTTTTTTTCTCTCGAGAAACTGTCGATACAATTATTTTTGTTTTCTGATTCAGAGAACCAGCTTTCTCTCCTGTAAAAAAATGAAAATCAATTATTGTAAAATTTATCAATTCGGAGAAAGATTTAGCACCAAAAAAAAACAAAAACAGAAGTTCATGCAGATGATTGCACGATTAAATTTCGCTGAAAGTAAATAAATGTATATCGCCCTCTATATATTGTGATAAAGGTATCTTGAAGAGTATGGCAAATATCGGATGGAAACTTTTAGAATTTAAATCAGTCGTGTCTTACCTTTGTTCTGCAAACAATTTTAGGTTCTAATGCTGTCTGTGTTCGTCTTTGTTTTGAAAAGGGCGCTTTTTATGTGTGGAGAGCTAGAGAAAGTCTGTGCATGGTCTGTACAGCATTTTTTTTTATCACACCGCAAAAAAGGAAGAGCGCCCTCAATGTTTTTTTCACGCATAACTAGTATGGTGAAGATCAAGAGGCCACTGCTAGCAGACTTTTTTGTTTGTATAGCAGGGATGAGTGGTTGAAAATGATGCAATTTGATTCGTTTTTAGTTTTTATAGTGAGGTACACTATGCTTGACAAGAAAAAAACACGAAATGCTCATCCTTATTTTCGATTCAGTTTTTCATCCTTTTTTTTAAAAGATTATTTGTGCATTTTTTTTTTAAATTGAAGTACGGAGCCCCCTCTCCATATCCAACGTCTGATGTATCTAAGCATGCGCATTTTATGCGACCCTGCGCGTCAGCCAATCGGAGTCGACTTCTGTAGCCGTGACGTCATTTCGATCAGAAATGTGGACTATTTAGCTGTTGATTGGTCAACTTTGGCTGCCAAGTTTTTGATATAACGGGTTGCGGAATAAGAAGGCGCCCGCTGAATGGTCAGAATCTAGATTTCAAGACGAGTTGTTTTGCATAATTAATCGCCGAATCTGCGCGAATTATCATAGACGCTTGTCTGTAAGCGGATATTCCATAGACTTGTTCGTTTGGTTTATAATACTCTTCATATTGTGGATGGACGGAATTGACTAAAATAGTATATAAACTATGCATATAAGGAACACAGTATTATTCTATCAATAAAACTTCTGATAAAACGATGAATTCATTGTGGCCTGGCGAATTTTAAATTGCAGACGATGTAATCATTTGAAGGGTTCATGAAGTGAATTTTTCTTAGGAACATAAATGTATGAAAAATATCTGACATCCCTTTTTGGTTAGTTGTATCAAACAGTGCACTTCTTTTAAAATTGTCCATGCTTTTCTGGACAACTAATGGCGCTTTTGCTGTGGTGTCATTTCAGGAAGACACTGTTCAGTTTGGGGCTTTTCTGTTCAACTTGTGAACTGAAAAATGTGCTGATTGAAGATAATTGTGAGGAAAGTTTGCTGACTGGCTTTAACTGCCATGTACTGACACAACAACGAATCACCAAAGAAAAGAAAATCTACGACAGCGAAATATCCAAACTTCTGGCAACTGTTGGTGCCGAAGAAGCTGTAATATTGATGTTTCTGCCTGAAATGACATCACACTAATCTGCTCATGAATATGGAAATCTGCATTAGCATAAAAACAAAAAAGGAGTCAAAGTTCCCTTTAAAATGGCAAAACGAAAATTGAAAACATGGTTAAATGAGACACAAAGGTGCATTTTCAAGAATTGCATTCACTGTAAAAAAAAAAAAGGATGGATAAAACATTGTTGGGCAGTGTAATTTACCCAGCATTGGTATGAAATTACCTCATATTGGGTTGAATTGGGTAAAATCTGTCAAACTATTGGGAAGAATTTGCCCAAGAGTGTAGGCAGTTGATAATTCGACCAGCATTGGTCGAATTGTCAACCCATTTTGCCGAACTTTTTACAGTGTTAAAACAATTACCGGCCCTTTAAACTTTTATACGCTAACAACTTTCAACTTTGATAACACAAACTTTTCCCACTGGTTTTCCTACTCTCAATCGATTAGCTCTTTGATATGCAATAGAAACAACTGTTTGCAATCACAAAGGAAATGTTGAAAAACAAAAGAATTGAACACGATGATTGCGACTCATTGAATTATCTCTAACCTAGAAGCAAGGAGTGTGCATATCCAGAGACGGTCCGACATTGACTCACTCTCAGAATGTTTGGTCAGTCAATATCGCCCATTTCATCAAGGGCAGACTTGCCCCAGACATAATATCACCCCTCCCCGATGCTTGAGCCCGATTACCCCCTCCCCCTCCCTTTCACGACCCCCTGGCCCCATTATGTACCCCTTCCTCGGCAGACGATGGGTGTTCGTGATGGTCCTGATTGAGTGAGTCATTGATACGAGTTGGCTTCTTTAATCCCCCCCCCCCTACGATCATGAACTGGGTCTGGGGACATGCGGTATAGCAACTGTTCTAATGTATGACTGAATCAGCCTCTAGGCCTATACACACACCCACGATCTGTTGGAAATGTTTTAAAAGAAGCCCAAATGAATTAAAATTTGTATTGTTCTTCTGTTAGACAGGTGATCAGCAGTTTTCATGCCTCAAATTCCTTTATGTCCGCACCGAGGTATCTGGAGCAGAATGGTCTTGCTAATTCAAAATGCTCTGAAGCCAACATATACACTTGTATTTGCTTTTATCTCATTATAATAATAAAAGTAAAAGTGATTACCCTGGATTGGACATTTTGGGAGACACCCCCATAGACTTGTGCACACAATTTTTCCTATGTGCCCATACCCAATATTCCTTTGTCCTTTTCCCACGAATTTCGGTATGTTTACTATATAATTAGACCACGAGCAACAAATATAACCCAATTGTTATTGTGCCTCTAAAGGGGGGCTGTGGCATTAGGGAGACATGAAAATCTCTCCCTAATGACCGATGTCTCCCATCGTGCGAAGAAATTACGATAACGTGTCTCATTACCGGCAATGGGTCATTAGGGAGACTCTCAAACTTCAATGTGCCCTAACCCAATATTCCCTTGTTCTTTATCCACGAATTTCGGTGTGTTTACTAATTAGACCACGAGCAACGAATGTAACCTAATTGCGACACTAAAAATGTGCCTCTTAAGAGGGGCTGTGCCATTAGGGAGAGTACTTATGTGTCTCCCTAATGACCGGTGTCTCCCTATTATCGAAGAAATTACGATAACGTGTCTCCCTAATGGTACATTAGGAATATAATAGTAATAACAATAATAATAATAAAATAATAACAACGGGTACTTGTGTAACGCTTTTAACTCCAATGCGCTTTACATTATTATTATTATTACCCCTGATCATTGGGCCAATGAATAATTCCAAGCACAATCTCAGCTCCCTGGGGAGTATACAGCTCCATGCTGCCATTTCGGCACAGGCAGCTAAAATCAACCACAACAACCGTCTCTGCCCTCACAGGTACGCATTTACTCCTGGGTGGGGAGAAGCAATGAGTAACAAAGTGCCTTGCCCAAGGGCACACGCACCACAACCCCAGGCTGGACTCGAACCCACAACCTGCAGAATTACCCGCAGACCACGAGCCCAATAAGGTTACATGGGACACAAAGATGCATGCGTTTGCAGGGAGCCTGCATTAAAATAAAATATTACATTACATATCCCTTTAACCTACAGCTGTATGATATGCTATACAAGACTGCCTTTCGATACTAGGTTCCATAAAAACTATACCGGCAGTTTATTTCTGTATCGAGGGCCTACCCTGTCGTCTGATTCGAATTTTGTCCAAGTTATGAATCGATGTTCAAGGGGAAGTTAGGCGCCTTCCCATGTTGTCTCGTTCTGCCTGGGCGTCTTGTCAGGAATTTCCGTCATTTTGTAAGAGATCATGATGGACAAATTATTGTCCCAATGGAAAAAAAACCCCTCAATAATTTGATTTGTTCGAAACGGGTCACGTGAGGGGCCAGCTGTGACCCTTAGGGGTCTGTGCAAGATATCTCGCCTACGGCTGTTTCATAACCATGTTAATTAATTATTGACTCGAGACAAAACAAGACTCATTCAGCTATTTTCATTCTTAGAATATGAGGAACGAACATCCCCTAATTGAACACGGAAACAGTCAGGGCTTGAACAAATCGATACATTTTTTTCTTTTTTTTCTGCCCGTGGAATTATCTGCCCAAATCCATTTATCAACCCCCCCCCCCCAAAAAAAAGAGTTGGGCACGTTTTTCTCCAAAGTCTTTTTCGAAAGAGTGTTCATGCAAACAAACAAACAACCCAACACCCCAACAAACAAACAAAACACAAAAATTGTAATTTGCTTTTAAACAATGGCATAGATAACAAAATCCATACAAACAAAGGGTTTTGTGTTGAAATGTAGACCTATACATGACAACGGGCGATGTGTAATAGGGGCCTACACCTTTTTTAATTGTTGCAATAAGTTACTCACAATATACAACTGCCCACAACTTGTCATCTTTCTGATGTGATCATTGACGCTAATCCGTAATCGCTCAATAATTCGCGATGAACTCACGGTCGCTATAAAAACAATTACGGGAATGGGCGTTTCCGTTTTTCAAGCCAAACTTTTTTGGGTGTGGTGCTTTTTTAGCCTAAGTAGCCACGCGTGCGGTTTATTTTAAGCATCAGTCACCACGTACGCGCGCGCCCCCATGACCACGCATGCGCAGTAGGACCCCTCGCTGCACTGCATTGTGTGTTGTTGATGCGATGACATGAGTTTAGGTTAAAAAGACTTGGAAAATGAGTGATTCTCCAGCCGAATTCAGAAGGGTTTTGTCCTCGGGTCGAAACTCCAGAGAGCTAGATCGGGATTCTCAGTCGTCTATGGAGGGTGCCGTCATGACGAAGTCCGGAATGAGGGTTTATAAGATTGTTTTGTTGGGCCAAGGCGGCGTGGGCAAAAGTGGTAAGTTTTTGTTGTTCTGTCTGTGTTGTTGCAGCAGTGTTGGTGTTGCAGGCAGTTGAAAAATGTCGTCTGCTTTTTATTCCTCGTTTGCTAACATTTTTTCACACACATTATCAGAACTGTTCGAGATAGTGTGGTTTTTATAACAGTGTTTTCCTAGATCCTTGGTGATAAACCCGATTTTAGACAAATCCATGTTCAGTGGTTGAGTTGTCATCTTTTTTTGAGAGAGAGAATGGGTTGAAATTTTTTAGGTCAAACAAAATTGCTAACCGGCAAAACATATTGTTTTTCTTAGAAGTTGAATTTGGAGTCTAAAATTACTTTGGAAAATTATCAAGTTGGCCTAGGGCTATGCTGTCTGATTTTTAGTTTTCCGTTATTAGAAGATTCGTTTGAATATCTTTAATGGAAAGAATGTAGGCCAAGCACCCAGATGCCACTTCGTGTGTTTTTTACAAAACTGGAGAGTCAAGAACATTTTCGAAGTATTTTCTAACAAACTTGGAAATGTTTCTCAGTCCTAGATTCATATCTTTTCAACATTTGCAATGACTGACCTTTGTTGAGATGATATGAAGAAAAAAGTGGCGTCAGGTTGCGACATTCTTTTCAATTTGATAGCTTTTGTTTCATTGTGACTTTGTCCTAGGTAGGACTAGCACTAGGCCTGTTTGAAAATAATGTTCACTTTTGAAAAATTTACAAACTTTCACCATGATGTTCATTCAGCTCATAACTTCATATTGCTAGTGCCGTAGTGCCGCGGTTCTATTCTAAAGATTGACGGTCGGATAGTTTGCGTTCAGCTGCCATGTTGGAGGTGTGACAAGAGGGCAACAGAAACACGCACCCCAAACATGGCAGCAATGCAACAGCTCTGTTGCCTCGGTTGAATTCACTTTGATCACAGGCGTTGCATAAATACGACCTAAATCAGCGAGCCCAAAAATGTGTCATCGAGGTCCGGCCCTGTTTTGTTTGATTTTTGACAGTTAACAAATTCCAAACCCTGTCACGTGCAAATGGAATGCCCCGGTCGTGTTTTGTGTAAATGACGCAAATGCGTGGACAAAGTGCAGGATTTTTCTAGTATTAGTACTAGTACTAGTATTCTGAGTGGGCTTTTGACTTTTGGACTGTAGCCAAATATGGCTGTTAAACTGATAAAAAAAAGTTCTTCACCAAATTCCTTAGGATAAGACAGCCCTGGATTTTTGCACTCCAAATTCTGCCAGGCTTGCAGACTTGTTCAATTATTAAATCTTACTCAATCACAGTAAATAATGTGCTTCAAATATTGAGGTGTTTTTTAATAAAAATTAGAAAAACCAAAAAAGAAAAAAATTAGTTGATTTTTCTGTGCAGTTGAAATTTGAAGTTATTGGAGTTGGCATGCATTATTTTTTTCAATTGCACAAAAGAAACTGTTTAGCTTCATCAGAGACTGTTTGAAAATTCAAGTTTGGGAGAAAAAAAAATAATATTGGTTGTGTGTGTAATATACATGCAGTTCATGTAAAAACTCCTGCTTGAGAAATGCATTCAATCTCCAAGACATGAACTACATGTTAAGTCAAATCCCTCTATAAGGAAACCCAGCAGGTACAATACAAAACCATTGGGGGGAAAAGTGAAACAATTATTGGTTGTATAAACACTGTCTAGCCAGCCTTCCTACTGTGTTAGGGTATAGAGAGGCCAAGGTTACACAGAACAGCCAAGTACATGGAAGAATGCTTAAGTACATCACCGGTCGGATATTGTATGCAAATAATATGGACGATTGTCAACCATATCTAGAGACCAGGTTACCACGAACGGATCTTGGAATACAGGATACGCGTTTAAATTACCCTTTTCGTGAACTGAAAAAGTTATGACCTTTGGTAAACAACCTTGTAAAATTTCACCTCTGTTCAAGAATTAAGCATAATCCCTGAACAGTTGAATAGTTGATACATGTACACATTGGCGAATTGTCCTTGAGTGTCCTGTACATAAAGTATGCATAGAATTATCCGATAATCTTTAGGGATTAAATTTATCCCCCATGTACCTTAAAACAGATTGCAACAGTACAGTTTGGATTTGTACGCTTGAAAATAGTCGACATGTGACCTGCATTAATTTGTACCCATTGTATACTTTAACACTCAACAGTGCATGTACATGTACAGTACATGTACGGGGTACATGTACATGTACATGTATACATAACTTTTTTTACATAATTTTATTTAGCCATGCATCATGCGTAACACATCCCGTTGTCCAATTGGCTAACTTCCCCTGTGCTGTATGACAGCGGATCTGGTACTGTTTACGTTAATCTACACATCCACTGTTCCGTCTACCGGTCTGCGTTCTGTGAGCAGCATTAATTTCCAATCCAAAGCCAATGACCGGGCAAACTTCCTCGCGGCAGAAAAACTCAAGTGACCGACCTGAACAAACTACCCACGCATGTTTACGTGTTTACTCCGAATGCAGCTACACCGCACACACATGTACTGCGGATGACACAGGCGTTTGATTTGAATCATATTTCTCAACACAATCAACAAACCACACCGGGCAAACAATCAACCACACAATAACAGATTCTTATTGTTGACGTGTGATTGAATATGAATTCCAATTAAAAATCTGAAAGGATTTCTGTTACCGTTTGGGTCAGTGGTGTACATGTATAGATGTACATGTATGATGACCCACAATCATTGATTAAATCTGTCTTTTGAAGTGCACTGGGTGGAGCTGGTTTAGCAGCTTAATGGCCTACCTGGGTCCTTTTGTTGGTGGGTTGCTTTGTGGTTCTGTGCTGCATGACACTGTTACTGGTATGCTGGGCACACTTGTGGAATAACTTCAAGTCTGCAAAAGAACAAAGCGATCACCAACCGTTCAGAAGTGCATACATTTTCCATGTGCACAATATGTGAACACTAGTTGTGTTTAAAGGTAGAGTAAAGTTGCAGCGGTCCAAAAAGTAACTGGCGAAATTATTGTTGAAAAGAATACTTGGTAATGACGCTAAAGTCCCTATATGAAATTGTTTTTTTCTGGCATGCTGTCATTTTGAAGAAAACAATAAATGATGGTCGTTTCCAAAGATGTGTTTATCTTTTGGAAATTTCCGTTAGTAGTTCGTTCTTAATTTGGCGAAGCTGTGAATGGGTACGTGTAAGCGTTGACACGATGCACACGCGCGCGGTTGCTTTAATGCATCGGTTCAGTGCGTGACACCACGAAGCTGCAATCAGCTGAATGAGAACACGTCCCGGACGCTGATTTCGGGTGCAATTCAAAACATGACTCGGTAACTTTTGAATTGAAATCAAGATCCTAGAATATTGTTTTCTCGGAATGTACAGCATTCACTGAGCTAAAAGTTCATCAGGTTAGTTGTTAAGAAGCAGTCTTTAGATTTTGAGCACTTTCGTTGCTTCAGACAAAACAATGCACAAATGACATGCTACCTTTAAATGTACTTATTTTTCTTCACATTGCTACAAGTTTACTTTTTGCACAGAAAAATAAGTAGGGTTCTCTCATGTACATGTGTTACATTTACATGTATTATGATTTTCCTTGTAAAACGTTGCTGTAACTAAAAAAAGAAAAGGTTGTACAGCTTTTTTATCAGCAGAGAAGTAGCAACACAATCAATGCATGTACTAGAATGCCTCTTGCTGTTACCAGGCACAGCAAGGTGAAAAAATAAATACATAAATTGCACATTTCAAAGGGTGCAGCCCCCAGTTCAATGCTGGGTATTTACAGAGGGAGTTGCTACAACGAGACCCTTTGTCCCCGTACCGTGAAAGCAGCCCTCCCTAATTTCAACACCAAATCTAGAACAGGGACGTGACGGAATATAAAACCTACATGTTAGGGGAAGGCCTGTTATTGATCAGTCACCGTGCAGCACGGACCGGTCCCTTTGTTTGTGTTCCGAGCTCCACCCATGTTTACCTGTGCACAGCAACACGGTGGGGGTATCGGTTCAGCTGATAGGCATTGTTGGATATAATGGATGATTTGCAAACTACAATGGGCCTTTGTCCGTTACATTTGCTGCGTAAAATACATCTGGACTGACACGTAGGCCAAATATGTAGAACGTTAACTGATACCCCTGAACTTTCTATAAGAAAAAATTTGTTTCAAGAAATTTTATATTTGTTTTCTTCTTCAAATATATGCTGCCTACATTTTAACTATGGATAACATCAGATTGCAAATTGTTTACCAAAAATTGAGCCATGCATTACATGCATGCTTCATTACTTAAAAAAAAAAGAGAGAAATCATTCACCGTTATTAATACATGACCAAATATCAATACCTGACCAAATGTAAAAAAAAAAAAAAAAAAAATGTACATTTTACATTTTACAGATTAAAAACATTTATAACATTGGTGTGCACATGTAAACATGAGTAGTTATTGCTGAATTTTTCTTCGCACATAAATTTACTTCCACATATTTGGCTTCGCATTTTTTCCCTCCATACATTTGTAGCAAAACATGAACTTAACCAGTTTTTGGCATGCATAAAATCGTGTAGCTACATGTCCATGTACATGTGCTCAAGTATTTTTGGTTGTTTTTGTCCATTTTGTTGTCAAGACGTTTCCCCATCCCCTGGGCAAATGGTCAAAACAAAGGGCTTGTTTTTTGCGTTTTTTTTTTTTTTTTCAGTGTCAACGTGCCGTTTCTCACCTGCGAGAATTTGCTGTCTCATTCCCGGGGGGTATGCGTCCTCTCACAAATTTGATTTACGTGCACGCGCTCTGTGGTAACCATGGCAACGCGAAGTGGCTGTGCGTCATCGCCGATCATTAATTATTTTGGTGTTTTGGTTTGTGTCCAGGGTTCTTTTGTACAAGTTTATTGACTATATTCCATGTGAGCGTAATGTTCATGAATGTTCGGTGCATGCATGTTAGCAAAGCTCACCTGAATACTGTGTGGACAATTTTTTTCCTTATTCGAGCTCGGAATTTAGTATTCACATAATAGGAAGTTCAGCTTTTGCCCACTTCCTTTTATTGTTCTATGAATTCCTAGTGCACAAAAATATAATAAAAACCACAAAACAAAAAACACCCAACATGTAGCATGTTTATGCTGTACCTACACCGTACAGTAACTCTATAACTTGTCAAATGTCATGTATATTAAAACTAACCAAATAATTGACTGTTTGAAATATTAAAAATGCTTGAAAAATTTACCATGTGCATACATAAAAAAATATATAGTTTAGTTGTCTGTATGGGAATTTTGTACATTTAAGCAATTTAAGTGTTACTAAAAAAAAAAAATGCACATAGTACTTACATGTTGTTGAACTTGAAGAGATTTTTATTTAAAGTGAAGACATGTGTTTTTCGATCTTGCTAAACGCAGACGTGTAAACATTTTATTTTTGATTTACTGTTTATCTTTTGCTTCTCTTTAATTCCTTACTAAGTGGAACTACTTAAGTTACTGTGTAGTGTACAGGATGCACGTTTGCACAATAAATGTGTAATGTTAGCCTACTGATTCATAATATGCTTGACTAAGTTAATTTATAGCCAAAACCCCCCCCCCCCCCCCCCAGCTTTTTGTTGAAAGCAACATGGCTCTTATTGTGTTACAGGCTTTGCTGTACATCTAAATGTACACGTGTACATGTACATTCTGTGCATATATTCCATGCATGTTATGTGCACAAGTAGCGTCAAACTCTCCATCATAAAAATGTACATTGTAAATGTACATGTACTCAACAGTCCAGCCAGCATTTCTACAGACCTGGGAGGAGGTCGGGTCAAGGCTATTTATAGAATCCAATCATCCCTACACAATGGGGCTGCACAGCTAATGTGCTGCCTCAACAATGGTGCTTTGTTTCGGTTACAGCCCAATGTGTATTCTACCAAAGGGAGATAATTATTACTGTGGATTTGGATTGTGTGCATTCTAGTCTTTGTTTGATTAATGTCGACGATCGTAAATTTAGAGAGCCGTACCGCATATCGAAACTGATCTGATATTAAACGTGTACAGTTTATAAGTGACAAAGAAAACTTGATCAAAATTCAAAAGGCAACAGAAGATTTTAAAAAAACCTCTTAGATTTTATTTTTCTGTCAAAAAGTGATAAATCCTCCGAATTTGCCATATTTTTCTGCTTGATCGTTTCCTACATGTATATTTGACGTTTATTTTTCAAGCCGCAGTTTTCTTCATTGGAGGGAGAGGTTTCATGACTGCTATTGTCGGGATTTTATAATTTGACATTTCATCACACACAAAATGCTTAACGGTCACTGTCGAACCATCTTGTGGCTGACATTTCAAGCACTGTTGATAAATTACATTTTTAAAAGTCGAATGAACAAATATTTTGTTAGTGGACCTGCAGTTATTTATAAAAAAAAAGATGTTGAAATCCGCAGACCATTTAGCTTTCTATTTTCCACCTTTTTTTATTTGTTCCTGTTTTTTGGTCTCTCCCACAGCTTTGACGCTACAGTTTGTGACGCACAGTTTTCTCGAGTATCATGATCCCACGATAGGTAAGCTGAAAAACTAACCCACGTCATATCCGACGCCTGGCGTTAAAAAGCCCCGAGACCCTACACTGCGGTTGATAGTAGTTGACGACTTGACGTCATCTACTTGTTGAGAGAAAAAAATGGGGAGTGATTGCAAATTAAGCATGGGGTAATTAGGGTCCTGTAAGACAGTGTGGTCACTTAGGCATGCAATTATATGCACGTAGTTCATGGCAGAGTGACGGATCGGGTGGAATAATTGACAGGGGATTACTTGTGTTTGTTAATCATTGACGTCATCTACTTGTTGAAACGAAAAAAGGGGTTGGTGATTGCGGGTAACCAGTTGCTGAACCATCAGAATAATTAACGTCGACTGGTATTGCGCCTGAAAGCTAGAAGTACTAAACGGCTGAATGCGCTGACTGTGAATCATTGACGTCATCTACTTGTCCAAAAAATTTGGAACTTATAAGATAAAAACTTGACGCACTTGGCACATCTGTGTATTTTTTTAACCTTTTTGAAAGACAGCTTTTGTGAACAGAATCACTTCAAAAGTTTTGCAAAAAATAAAATTTGAAGAAAAAAAATAACCCAAAATAAAATAACAAATTTAAATTCTTGTCAAGTATTTAATTCTATGCTACAAATGTCAAAGAGTGGAGTGAGTAATTACAAAAGGGAAGCCCACAATTTTTGGAATGATAAATTATGAGTCAACTCGCGGCTGGAAGAACTCGTAAAAAAGTCCTAAAAAACTATGACAAATCCACACAAAAACCACAAAGAAAGAAAAGATTATAACCAGTTAGCCTTGCTTTGAATCTCCCCCTTAATATATCCCATTCGCCTATTGATTGCAGTTGTACCTGTTCATGTAGGTGTTCTGGGGTTCTTTGTCCCTTGCAGATAAACTGTCCATTATGCATACATGCGCCGAATCGGTTATTTAAAACCCTTCAAGCGGCCTTCGTTGTGTAGGCGCTGTAAGAGAATGCATTGATAACTACACTGTGACTACCTGCACAGGAATTTTAGAAATTCGACATTGCTGCATTTGCATTTCAATTAGAGATGGATTAAATAATGAATGGTGGTTCCCGGAGTATATTTTTAATGGCTAAAGGCAATTGACTTTTCATGATTTTCAGTAAAAATGTCCTGCTATCTGTCATGCTTTATTTAATATCCGCAAAGAATTTATTTCTGATCATCCAATAAACCACAAAGAATTTATTTCCATTCGTTGATTTTTTTTTACCACAAGGATATTCCGTCCAAAATTGATTTGAAAATAAGTTATTTGGAGATTTGGGAATAATTTCTGTTTGAACATGTATTTTGGTTTTGAGGAAAACGTTTAAATTGGGAACTTTTTGGGGTATTTCTGGAGCAGGGGACGTATCTTGTATCCTATTTTATCTAGAGGATCTGGGGGGAGAAGGAACCGCAGAATGAATCAGAGGAACAGTTACTACCCCTGGGGTATTCTGTGTCACCCATCCCCTACCCCCCTCCCCCTTCCCCCATGATGGTACTTTGCTGCTTGTACTGTCTGGGCCATCGGCATATAAAAAAAAAACTCCTTCCTTGTCGAGGATAAACCTCTAGTGACTATTTGCTGGAGAATGCTCACAAATGAGCTGATTTGTTTCAATTTTTGTTTTACTTTCGCTTTCAAAGGAATCATTTTGAAATCAGTTTATGCTCAGTAAACTGAAATTTGTTTCTTTCATTGTTGCTCGTTTTAAAGACAAGTTGGGTTGGAAATGGTTATTAAATTTAGTCATAATTTTGTTGATGGTAATGTGATACATGAAATAGCAGTAGTGTCCCCCTTGGCACGTTTAGTGTACGGAGAATTTGAGGCTGTATTAAAAATAGCATGCGGCTCACTTGTAGGTCTACGTCCTTAATGTGTTTTAAAATATTTTTGTTCACCTTACAAAGTATGAGCGCTGGAAAGGGGGGGGGGGGGGGGTTAGGGGGTAGGGGTTCCTGACAAAGTTCCCCTATTGAGTCAGGATACATCAGGGAAGAGTGATGGACTGCCTATGGTGGCCCCGAGTTGCGGATATCCGCCCCAAGTTGATGCGAAAATGCGCTAAAGCGGCGCGCCCTTCCGTTGACGTCACGCACGTGGCGCGGTCAGTCTGGCAAGGGGAAAGCCGCGAGCGTGAGGAACACAAAGAAGGGAGAAACAGACGCGGTTTGTCAGAACGAGTTCTTAGTCAAAAGTCCTGGAGGGGTGGACCGCGATTACGGGAACAGGAACTTTTAAGAATAACAGGGAGACGGATGTTGAGGGAGAAATGAAGGGTTGCGGGGAGCCAGTCGATGACAGACTTCATCTTTTGAGATTGTAGAACTGGAATCAATTAGAATATAACTTGAGTTATTTTTGTCAGTTAGTCGCTAGTGCTCCCGTCCTCATGAATGTATCCAAAAACCTAGGGAATAAGTCAGTTTTCCAGGGGGAAACCATCTTAAAAGCTCTTACTGAAAATTCCGCCAAGATTCTGCTCAGAAGGTGGTTTTTTTTGTTTGCTTCTTTTTAGATGTCCTACTTGGCTGGCTGCCAGTACTATCCCAAGTTAAAAGATGTGCTTAGAATAATGCCTAAAGTGATTTGGGGGGAAATGGTGTCAACAAAAGCAAAATATCTAAAACTAAAAGCACCCGAGGCTGTGAAAGTTAAGATTTATCATGTTTTGATGTTGCTCTGCATGTGCCAACAATCTTACTCCGTTATCGACATCCCCGCATCTCTCTCTGTCCCCCCAGGGTTTTTCCAAAAATGGCCACATCGCTCTTCCATCTCGGCGAGAAACAGGAGGACCTCCTTGAGTGTATCATTGTCTCTCGCGTTACATCTTCACCGTTTGTCAATCTAGTCACTTTAAAGGCACTCTGACGTCAACCCGTCTTCTTAACGGACGTCATCGTTCCTTTTTTTATCCCCTCATGACAAGATCTCCGTTGAGTGTGGGGTCTTTGAGTTCTTATCTCGGTATCTAGTCACTAATCATTTAGGTCATTAATTGTCTTCGTTTCGGTTTGATGTCGGCCGTGATTGTCCTCGTTTCGGTTACATACACACCTGTACGTGTGTGCATTTCCCATTAAGTTCGTACTTGCCTCCCAAGTACTGTGATACAATCAATACACGCTCCTCGCTCATCGTACGTCAGTTGTTTTGTTTGATCATGCAGATGTTATGATGAGAAACCCTCAAGGATGTTGCTCGCATCCTTGTTATCGCTACTCCTCAGCCATCTATCTTGTGAAATTCTTGTGAAATAAGGGAAAAAAGAAAAACACCGCTGACATTTTGGGATGCATTCTTTGCTATAAATAGTTCACTTGAAATGTCATCAACATACATGAGTGCCTAGGGGAAAAACAACCAAGTTACGGTGCCAACCAGTTTAGTTGTTTTATTAAAAATTTGGCAAAATATTTGTCTCCTGGAGATTTACCGAGAATGAGAGTTTCAGTTCAATCAATATGCTTTTTTAACGAGGGAAGACAACAGATCCACTTATTTTGTGCAGTGTTATCAAAATACACATATTGCTGCAAATTTCACAAACAATATACATGTAGATCTACATTAAAGTACATCTATACTGAGTAAAAGTACATAGGTTCACCTTTAACTTTTTTTTCACAAGCCAGCCTGACTAGTGAACCAGACTCTTATCTAGTCTGTGGGATATATAGTTTTTCCAAAACAACAAAATTTGTCATAAACAACATTAACTTTTTAGTACAGATTCTGTGCCCTGTACTTTTTTGGGTACTTTTATGGATACAAAACGCAGTGCCAGGCCATGTTCTTCCTTTAATTTCTACACTGGAGATCTCGGCACAAGATTCAGTAGCTCACTGTAAGTCCGTTTATAGAAATTTGTCATCAAAACGCTACAGCTAGTAAAAAAAAAAAACAGGGCCAAAGTTGCAAGGGTTTGCAAAGCTGTAAAATATCAGTTGCAAAGCAAACTCTTAAGAAGACCAGTCATAGCAAATAATATACACTTTGCTAACCTTGCTTGGCTGAGCAAGTTCATTCTATGCTTAACAAAAATCTAAGCTTAAGCAGATTCTTTGAATTCACCTGAAAGCCAAAGAGTTTTCAGGGTTTTACGGTAACTCGGTATTTTTCTCTTGATATTTTTCCTGTCTGCAGAGGATGCATATCAGCAGCAAGCTGTGATTGATGGAGAGGTTGGGTTGTTGGACATACTGGATACAGCCGGACAAGTGAGTACAGACTCATTCCACCCCTCCCCCTTCTCTAAGCCCCTCCCCCTGCCACACCCCTTCAATCGTTGTCGTAGCTGGGAAACCTGTGGTGGATCACAAGTCCATTCACAAGTCCAGTCACAACTAACATGGGGACGAACAATAACTAAGGAATGCCTTTGTTTTGTCACAGTTCATTTGAATGGCTTGTGACGTGACTTGGGACTGGATGACTTGTGATGACTTGGTGATTTCTTGAGATGGCTTGTGATTGAATTGTGGTGGACTTCTGATTGACTTGTAATATACCTGTAATGGACTTGTGATGGACTTCTGTTGACTTGTGATTACTTGTGATGGACTTGTGATCAACTTGTGATGACTTGTGATTGACTTGTAATTGACTTGTGATTGACTTGTGTTGACTTGTGATGGCTTGTGATGACTTGTGATTGACTTGTGATGACTTGTGATGACTTGTGATGACTTGTGATGACTTGTGTTTGACTTGTGATGGACGTGTGATGGACTTGTGATTCATGACACATACCTTGGCTACAACACTACCTTCTGTCCGTAGTCTGTTAAAGAACATGCACGTTTCCGAGCCAGCAGGGCTTTGGTGTCAACAAGTTAATACTACATTTGTAAGCGTTCATTTAGAGTAGTACAAAAATTATGTACATCTTATGCAGGTACCCAAATGCTGGAAAATACTATGAGTGCTGTGATCACTAAAATTACATTGAATGCTGAAGTACATTAGTGCAGTTTACTTTTAGTACTAGTATTTTGAAGCTTTAGGTGAGGGTACCGGTAGGGATAGAGTTGATGTTGTGATGCGTTACTCAATTTGTTTGAGCTCTACATGTACACATGTGCATGTAGATTGGAGTTTTTAAGTAGGGGGGGGGGCTACAGTGCTGTAAATGTTCCCTTCGTTTAACGAGTGGGCTTTCCTGAGAATCTGTTACAGTTGAGCAAAATTTTCAAATGCCCTACAGTTTCCAACAATTTCAAAACTTATCCCCTTGTCAAATAATGGTAGAGTCCTACTATGTTGGTTGGGAGCCCCGCCTGAAAAGCGGTCACACAGGTTTTTTGCCCGATTGTAAAAGAAGTTAAATTGAATTGAACATTTTGTCAATTAACTCCTGTGTAAAAACTGGAAAACCTGGCCCAACATTAGGTGAATAACAGAAAGAAAGTTTGTGAGAGTCGATCTGGGTGTAGCAAACTGTCGACGAACTATCATTCCAATTGAATACGATAACAAGTGGTGCGCAAACGGTGAAGGTTCCCTGAATAACAGGAACACATACAGTACAATGCGGTCTGGGCTTTAATTTTTCTCACAAGGTGGCCAAAGTGAATATTTGTGTGGCTACGCCCTTGTGAATCTGATGAGCGAACTGCAATAACAAACTTTGTTATTTTGCAAGGAATGATTGTAATATGGTTGTAGATTTATTTTTTTGTACGGGCGATATGTGTGTCAGTGTTTGAGGGGGAATCTGACGGGATGTACGTGGGGATGTGGTTAGATTCCTCTGGGGGTGGGAAAAGGTGTTATTGTGAAGATTAAAGAAGTTCATAGGATTTCGCGAACAAGTTATCAGCAGTTGTATCGTACGGTATAAACTGATTTGTCAACTGATTTGGCAATGTTCTACAAATACATTGTATTACTTACCGTACCGGTAAGTTAGGCCAAAAAATATTAGTTCTGCTTCCGGTTACCCTACCTACCCTATTTTGACAGCCTTGACTCTAATGTTTTTGTTTTTTTTGATAAAAAAGAGGGGGGAAAACCCCAAACCCATAAATTACGACCTTTTACCCTCAACTACACACAGACATAAATTTATGATCAACACAATTGCCCCCCCCCCCCCAAATTTTCTACCTACCTGCCGGTACCATATTTTCAAATGCCATTTTATCGGAAGCAGAAGGTTTTTTTTGGGGGGGGGGGGCCTTACCATACTTGAAAATTAAATACAAAATGTATAACTTCCTGACTTTACGGACCAAACACTTTTCATTTACCTTTGTTTGATATTCAAATTTTAAGTGAAAAAAAACCCAAAAAACAAAAAAACAAAAACAAAAACACATAAACGTGTACTGGTACATGTAGCCAGGGATCACGCCCCAAATCACGATGCTAGCAATATTAGCAAGCATTTGAAAATAGTTTTTAAAAAACCCAACTTTTTTATTCGGGGGCAGGAATTCCCCCCAAAAGTCCCCATTAAAAGTGTTCCGTGAGCACCGTACATGCGCAGATTTGGTATAACATTCAGATAAAGAGTGCGGCTATCTTGTTTACAAAACTCGGTAACAAAAGTAGAAAAGAGTGGCACCCTCAAAAAAGCAAAAACAGAAAAAGGGTGGCGGCCTGTTTACACCTTGAAAGGATTTGTAGCGAGATTTTCGACTCTTTATAAGAGATGTGTAATAGGGAGGAGGGGGGAAATGAAAGTGACTTTTCAACAAGCTCTTGATTAAATTTACCAATCGTCGTAATGCCGGATGTATTTTGTCTGGTCTTACGGTGGGTGGCCACGGTGTCGGTCTCAATTAAAGACAGGGGTGTAATTGACGGTGCGAAACAGCTGACAGGAATGATCCGATTATTCAGAGGGCAGCGACGTGAAGAGGCTTCAACGTCCTATAATGAAACACAGGGAAAACCTGGTGAAATGAAGATGGCAGGAAACGGCATAATTATTTCTACCTAGTGATTGTGATACAAAGCAGGACTAAACAAAAGAAAACAAAAACCACCAGAAAATGACATTTCAAAGGCAAAAATTGGCAGTTTCGTTTTTGAGCATTTCAAATGATCCTACATGGATATATACATGATGGATCATTTGAAATGCTCAAAAACGAAACTGCCAATTTTTTGTAAAGAAATAGCGCACTTGATTGTAAGTGAATAATACTATGAAACATCTTTTGGAATCGTTAAGCCTCGAGTATGGTGTCATTTAAAAAAAAAAAAGAGGAATTTTGTGTCAGTACTGACGCTGGTTAGGGCCTAACCGTCGCTGACAACAAACCTGTTTCTCAAATACTACATCAGTTACATGAAACCAGCTGTTGACTTCCTGTCTCACGACAGAACCAGCACTTGGGCACTCCCTGTGCCCTATGGGTTCTGTAAACGACATCTCCGAACTACACTTGATAAAGAACACCAGGTTTTTTGTTTTTGTTTTGCAGCGCCAATGCACAGAAAACATTTAACAGCTAGTTTAAGTCAGTATTAAAATTTTTCTGTAAAGTTTGGCAATGTGGTCATGCTCTCAGTTCTGCTTGCTAGACCTGTCAAGTAAACAGGGAGTTTGTTTATATCTGAACATTTAGGTCTACATTTGTTTATGATCAAGCATGCATGTTACAACTCCCCCCTTCCTTGCCAGGCCCGCCCTTCCCCGAGATGAACAAGTATAGGCAAGCCTTTCCTAATTCCTTAAGCAATCAGTCCATTTCCACAGGTGATTTCACATCCTTTCCGTGGCTACTAAACTCCACCCAAACTTGGCACGCTTGTCTCTATCGTCCCCGCTTTACTTTGATTGCCTGCACACGCAATGCTTGTGTACTACACACAGGTGATTCAACGCTTCTAATAGGTTAACCGTTTCTAAGTCCACTTTGATGGTTACACCTGTGGAAGTAATTAGTGATTCACAGGACTTGAGAAGTCTGTATAAAAACAATACAGTAACATGAACATGTTTATGACAAAGACCTTGACTTTCTTACCTGAAGAACACAACAATGTTTCCAGAACTGTAAGTAAGTATGAGATTGGCTACTACTGTACAGAGAAAAAAAAATGAAAACATTCTTGTGAATATTACAAAATTCAATTCTTAGTGACGCTTGGGTTTCTGCCTAAAGATGACATCACCGTTACGCTCATGAATATGGAGATTTGAATGGGCGTGAACAACGAATCAGAAAGTTTGTAAATGTAACCCAATTCTAGAATAGGAATTCAAAGATTGAAAAGGTGAACTGGGACACACACAAAAAGTGCATCTTGAGAAGTTGAACAACCAAACTTCTTGGAGAGTTTTGCCACAAACACGACAAAATTCTTGCATAACGCAAATATCCAACTCTGCGCAGTTAACCAGTTGCAAATTGGACTTTAAAACATAGTTACATCTACTGGTACCTGTAGGCTGTAGGACACCAATCCTCATGTGATAGTGAAGGTGCCAGGAAAGTATTACCCTGAATCCATTAAAATAATGCATAGCTACCGGTACATGTGCCGGTAGCTGCTTGAGTTTACCTGGTTTTGGGGTCGTAAAACATTTGTACAGCTTGTATTACTGTACATAACATCAAAATTGTACCCTGTACTCCAGTACGATGGCAGACCTACATGTAGTGGGGCAGGGAGCATTTCCGTTCATTTCCGTTGAACAACCGACACAATCAAGGTGTCACTAATTCACCTTTCACTACTCACTCAAATTAATTGATGTCTTTTGTGGTTTGGCAGGGCAGGGTGATAAACCAACCTATAGAAGGATTAGGAACGTTGAGGTTCTTGCCACGTACTGGGCGTGTCATTGATTACAATGTCTGATTCATAAATATAAATCATACCTAAAACCTGGATGACAACCCAGTTTGAAACCTCGTGTGACGGCTAAAAAAAAAGAATTGTGCTAAGGCATTTTTGTCTCTAGAGGCAGTTTTGTGTTGAATTTCATCTCCTTCACGAACGAGATTTGTCAGGATGGTTTTGGTTTTGGTCAGGATGTTTCCTGATTTTAGGATTTTTAACGAATCACTTCAAAAATGTAAGCCTCCTGAAGTTTTACTGTAAAGGTTATGTACATGTATAGTAAACAGTTTTACAAAATGCACATAATGATACATAATGATACATAAAATGACATTATGATGAGAGAAAACATCAATTTAGCAAATGCATTCCACATTCTGCATTGCCCAATTTTTCTCAAACTCCATTTTTGAAAAAAGCTACCCCGTACTGAATACCAGCTTCCCCCCCCCCCCCCAAAAAAGACAAAATGTACGCCCAGTCTGTCCCGTCGGACTCCACGATAGAAAGAAATTTATTGGCGAGCTTATGAGCTTATCCAATTTCAGTCTCGTTAAACCCAGGGATTTACCAATTAATTCTTTTATTTTTTGGTTTGGTTTGAGGCGATAAAGGGGTGGGGACGCAAACCCCACCACCCCTGGGGAGGGTTGTTCCCCCTGGGTGGTGAGTGACTCACACGACGTCATTGGCAGGAGAAGGGGATGTTTGGTGATTCCCGGCCACCCTCGGGAGAGGGGTCTAAACTTAGTGACCTTATGACCCCGCTCATGCGTGGCAAACCGGTCGGGGTTGAATGCGACTTCGGGGATAGAAGCACGTGTTGATTTTGTGTAACCTTTACATTTGATCCCTCGTTTCTCTGAGTTTGGTCCAAGTATTCCCCAACCCAAGAAGAACAGTCTCAACCCGTATGGTCACAGTTTTAACCGCTATCTTCAACAACCTCATGCAAATGAAGACATTGTCTTGCTCTCTCAAGACCACGGTTCTTTACTCATGCTCCCCAGAGAGCAGTGGCCCATTGTTTTATCGACGGACCAATATGTGACAGATTGCCTTTAAACGTGAGCATGCCACATACGTGCCCAGTTTGGACTAAAAGCGTTAAAGTCAACTGCATTTCTGTCAAAGTTTGGCCAATGCCCTTCCTCCCCTGTATCCTGGGCCCGAGGCTATTGGCTCCGCCTTCTCATCAGTCATACGGCCTTGCCCTAGCCGCAGGTGTTCAAAACCATTGTTTTGTCATTCCAGTCACGCCTCGGCCATCCATTAACCACCCGTCAAACTTGTTCTCTTTACGCAGGCGGAGTTTACAGCCATGCGAGACCAGTACATGCGAGGCGGCGAGGGTTTCATCATCTGCTACTCCATCACCGACCGCCGCAGCTTCCTGGAAGCGTCCGAGTTCAAGAAAGTCATCGAGCGCGTGCGGAACACCGATGAGGTGCCCGTCGTTCTGGTCGGCAACAAGTACGACTTGGAGCACAAACGTGCGGTGAGTGACAGCGCATCCCGTTTTGATCTAGGTCGTGCATGGACGCGGGAATTTTTTTTTTTTCGTGGACCCAAGATGCGCAACCAGCAAATCGGCACGAACATGCACTTGACAGATGTCACCTTTCATTCAAGGAACATGCATTAGTGTTATTTGCGGAGACCACTTACTGGCACGGTTCGGTGGAATTCAAGTCATGAGTCATTTAACCACTTACATCCCCTCCGAATATGAAACAAAGCAGAGAAAAAGAGCGACCTTTTAAGACTCTCGAAAAGCTTTCTCCAAAATTCACAGAATGAAAGCTGTGTCCTGAAGGCACATGTGCTAATTTTGGACATTTATATAATTGAAAATCCGCTCACATGTGTCCCTAAAAGCACACCCACACAGAATCAGATAACCACAGCTAGGTTCCTATTGCAGAGAGCACCTTTGGGTATTGAAAAGGGGGCAACACTGTTTTACAAGTCCCTTTTTTAACAGAATCTAGATTTTAAAGCAAGCTTATGTGTTTTGTGTAGCTGGCTTACAGATAAAAGTCACTTTTCAGAGCCTGACAAAGTCAATTAGCTGTATTCTATATTGATATACTCAAATTTTACTTACTTCGCATATCTGAATATTCAATGAATGTTCCTTGGTATCTTTATTCTAGGTCACGACAGAGGAAGGCCAGGCCTTAGCCCGGGAATTCAGCTGCCCGTTTTTCGAGACCTCCGCAGCCTTGCGGCATTTTGTGGACGACGTCTTCTACACGTTGGTCCGAGAGATTCGAATGAAGGAGAAGAACGACATTCTCGCCCTGGAGAAGAGGTTTAAGAAGAAGGACAAGTCTATCAAGCTGCAGAATCTCGTCCGAAAGGTCTTCAGGAAAAAGAGCAACACCACGTTATGAGTCCACCGTCCCTGAGAACAAATTGCGGACAGTTGGTGAATCTTGCCCTGAGACTTTCAAACAATGTGAGTTCTCTTGAACAGCGAGATCACTAGGCCAGAAATTTGCCAGTTCGTGGGTTCCACCCGAAGCGACCCAATCTTCCGCCATTAGCTATACAAGCTGCTAGCTATCGCACTACACCGTCAATCTGCAGTTCCGTTTTGTAACGTGTAGTTGGAGACAGTTCTTAAACCAAGGACATGATGTGCTGATCGTGTGTCCTACCCAAGTTGGGAACGCGCGAGATACAAGTTCCAAAATCACCTCCGTGAACTTGCCAGATATAGTGAACAAAAGCAGTTCTTGCACCGTGCAAACGTCTGAATGACATAGACTGAATGTAGCAACTTAGCTGAACCACCGCACCAAACTTGGCCGACATTGAGTCTGTCTTCGTCTTTTCTGATAGTCAGAATTTGAGATATTAGTTTCGGCCCCTCTTTTTTTGTATGCGGACATGTCACACTGCTTCACTAGTTATGGTAACTCCAACGGACCTGTTTGCACATTTTGCACTTAAGATGTATTTGCACTTGATTTGCCAATTGTTAACACTCTGTTCACAAAATTCAGTTGAAGTGCTAAAATAAGTATCAGCGTTTGTTTACCCGATAATTATCTTTGCACAATGTGTAGAGTTTTTACAAAAACATTGAGTCACTTGCAAGAACATTGATTGCACAAGCATTGTAATTATAGGGTAAAGTCTATTTGGAACAGAATTATTTATTCTAAGAACCCTGCCAACATTATTCAGATAATCAAGAAAGTTATTTGTTGCTGCCATCTTGGTCTTGTCCCCAGAAGCTTCTGCACAAATGCATACGAACCACATCTTCTTGTCACAGTTACCAGACTAATTTGTCAGCAGTCACAAAAAAAAGAATTGAACCAAATGGCCACAGAACTTTAATTTCCATTGCTTCTTATGATTCTTGGCAGTTCCAAAAAGTTTCAGGAAGTCTATTTCAAGAAATCTTTTTACCAATTTTAAGTTTGAAATCGTCACAAAACAAACATAAGGCATTCATGCTGCATACATAGTGCTACAGTTGTAACAATTGTACACCATCAAAATCTGCGTTTAGATTTCTAAAAATGTAAAAAAAAACAAAATTGTGAATGGATTTAAATTTGTTTAATGCTGCAGTGAAATTCTGATATTTCGTTTTAAAATGCATAAATTATTTGTTTTCTAGGATTTTTTTTAGTGCCAAAATACACTAATTTATTGGAGAAATTGTTTCCCCAGTGATAATGTGGGGTGATGTTTGAGTGAACGTTGGTGTAAAAAAGCATTGAGTGAAAAAAACAAAAACCTGTTTATACCAAAATTTTGAAAATGATTCTGTAGTGGTTACTTGAATAAAAATTGACACATCTTTTAATATTTCAATGAAAAACCAAAACTGCCTTTGCCTCCCACTTTAATTATAACTCCACCCAGTTTGAAAACAAACTATTTATTAAAAAGAGCTCTCATAAATCTCATAGAATGAAAAGTAGACATTTGTGGGCTGAAATCTAACTGTATCCATTCATATGTCTTTCACTTTCAAATATAAAGTTAAGTTGAAAGTTGAGAATTTTTTTCTTATAATAACGTGAAATGTGGAAAAAGCCATTTCTTTTTATTGGGGTTTCCCATTTTTTACAAAGCGATTTCCCCCCAAACAGTTTTTATTGAATGAACTTTAAAATAATCAATACTTATTTTAACAAATGCGAGCATTTCTAAAATCCATCTGCCATTTCTTTGCGTATTTGAAGGCCAAAATGTAAAGAATCAACATGACAGCCACTACCATCTATCTCCAATTTAAAGGATTGTACAGTGCACATTATTTTATTATTTAATTATACAAAGTGTGTGAACTTTGTCATTTTTTTTGTATTTTGTACAGAAAAACAAAACAACTGTATATTAAAATATTTTCTGTCAAATAATGTGTTATATGTGTATAAATGAAACTGTACATAATGTGAATAATACCAAAAAGTAAGAATTGTTAATACAATTGCTGTTTATAGTTGAGATAATTTTCAAGTTCTGTTTTTATCTTAAAATTTGGAAGTTTTAATTCTTGTTTGATGCACTTATATACAGTGTTGATTTCGTTAGTGTTGTTCCCCAATCAAATTTAAATTATATCCAGTTTGTAATATACAGGAAGTTTTTGCGAACAACCAAAACACAATTTGGTCAAGAAATGTGTAATTATTTCTAATTTTTACAAAGATAACATGACATTTTTCTCAATCAAAATGAAAAAAATCTTAATAGGCTATGTAAAAACGTGTTCTTATCCGACTGTTTAATACAACGTGAATTTAATGAAGAACCATTTTTTATCCTGAAAAAAATCCCTTCAATGAAATTTTGTATGCTGATATTATTTTAGAATGGGATTGGAAAATTAAATTCAGATCTCGAAGATAATGGATATGATCTGTCTGGACCTTTGCTTTTTTTGTTTCCGTGAATTTCAGTTGTCATGTGACCTTCTTGTTCTGTTTTTGCTTGTGAAGTTGAAGGAGCTATTTTTGTACAAATAAGAAGAGCCACGGACGAACAGACGGCGAGAAAACAGAATTCTTAAAAACCAATCGCTGCGCACTTTCATAAAAGTAGTACAGGGCGAGTAAAAAAACCCCCGAAACCCAATTGTCGAGACCAATAATTCTTTAATAATTTTTAAATGACGTTGTTTTGCCTTTAGCACTTTCAAAATCTAGGATATAAAAGCCCAACGAAAACAATTCACATGTGAATTGTTTTCGTTTTACTGAAAGAACACTTACCTTTTTGTGATCCGTGGACGAAACTTCAAAACGGTGTTTGTGGTCAAAATTCCTTAACTTGAAAAGTACATTATAAATTGGGCTTTCATATCCTAGATTTTGAAAGTGCTGCATAGCATGCAGAACTTCACTAAAACAAAATGGTCCCGACATTTGGGTTTCGATTTTTGTTGACTCGCCCTTTATACATAGCCACGATCCGTTCATATCTCTGTACTTTCGACATGTTCAAAATCCCAGATGAAGACTTTCATTCGCAGTCCCGAAATTTCTTTGGAAGGGTAGATCTTATATGCCACTGGAAGTTCTTGGATAAACTCTTAATTAAGTACTGAACAAACAGTGCTCGTTAAATTTCGGGACTGTATTTGGAAGGTCTACGTCTCCAACCGGGATTTCAAACTTGTCGAATGTTCAGTGAACGGAGCGTGGCTATGAATATACTAAAGCCACGTTTACGGGTCTAGGTGTAAGCATAAACACCATTAAAATTTATGGCAAACACTATCCCTCGGTTCAACAGTTCAATTGCTTACAATTAACACGCTATATTGTTGATATCGTCCAAATAAAGTTGTAACTGTTTAATAGGCCTACTTGGGATTCATATTAAATTGTGGGATTATACAAATTCGCCGCCGCCTTATCTTGTGCCAAATTTCCGGACACAACCTTTTCCTAAAGCATTATTTCGCAAAGCACGTTTTATCGAGCGGAGCACTAGTATGAGTTCCAAACTCCTCAACTCACGTTTGGAAATTCTTGGTTATGAAGGGAACCATGTCGAAGTGGAAGACTTGTCCATAAATAAAACGAACTTCACAGATATTTCTTTATCTACTTACCCAACGAGTCTCCATTGTCCGTAAGTTAGAAATGCTGTTAACTCTTACAAGACTTGTCCGAAGTCACAAAATACAAAAGCAGCCTGTCTGATCTCTCATATGCACCTGTCATTAAATTCAGTGACCAATCACGCGTCTTTTTTCACACGCGCGCGTTGCGCGTATGCAAATGATTGACGCGCGCGACGCGCTACGGTGTTATCAGGTACGCTGAATGGTCAGAATCTCGAGGTCAAGACGCAGTCTTGTTTTCGTATTAAACCCTTGCTGTTTAATATGCAATGGCTGCCATTTATCACAGCCAAGAGGTTTTAACCTTTTGGGCTGCGATAAAATGCGCTGCGTAGTGCATATGTAGGCCTGATGTAAGTCAACTGCACCTTGTCAAAGATGGCTTGAGTATTTTGTTCAGATACCATCGTTTGCCGCCCCCCCCCCTCACACACACCTTTTTGGTCCCCGAATAAAAAATTGTAGCCTACATTAATTTCATTCTATAGCTCAGAATAGCTGAGTCAATGACTCCAAACTCGAAAATGATGTTTAATTGATGATCTTCTGCTACAAAAAAAATGTTAAAGTGGTCAGAAATTGCCTCAGATTGCACAACAGAGCGTCTAGAATCCAAACCATACGCCATTAGGCTTCACGCTCGCAGTTAGTTCTGATCAAGGTGCCCCCAACCTTTGAGAAGCGATTGACGCCCTTGTAAACTCACGTTTACGTTACATACCTAGTGTGGACATTCTTTGTTTTCGTGTAGTTAAGAAAAACCTGTGTAAAAAACTCATTTCACTCACACTGGGAAAACTCTTTCAACCCAATTTTTTCTATGATTCCCTTTAGTGTTTCTCTTCGTTTTGCCACGGATAAACCTAACCCCAAAATGCCTCTAAACCTGTTTTTTTTTTCAGAGAGGGGGAAACACTGTGTGGACGCGGGCAAGTCCACACAGCGTCGCTGCTACCTGGTTTATGTGGACATCTTTTGTTCGGAAGTCCACACAGTCAATGTAATGCTTGCATGAATGATGTACGCACTTTGCATCGTTTTAGTTTTCTGGCCGACCGATCGATCCCAAGACGGTCCCGTATTTTGTTTTAATATAATGACACATATACTCTCTTCTTGCGAATTGTGAATAAACTCGACCAAGACTGACCAAGCTCAGCAGACAACAGCTGGAACCTCTGAACTTGACACACCCTTCTTTTTGGAAGGCTTTCCGGAGATAAACCCTCCAGAAAATAAAATCTCAGTCACCCGTGTCATATGTCTTGCCGTGCCAAGCTAGGCCACACCCCGCCGCGCCAGGACTCCTCATCACCAGTCCAGTCACCAAGATCCATCTCGACAACGTCTTGAAAAACAATGAGAGATACAGACAGCTTCCGGTGTGTCATCCACACGTATCCCTGGATCTAGATTACCCTGAGGGCCACCGGGCTTAAAACAAAAGCAATCAGTGTTATCTGGATGACAAATCAGACAAAAGTTGACTGTCACACTCGATTTGAGACGAAGTATTGGGATTGGAACACAAAAGCCCCCGGTCTTCCGGTCCGTTTTGTCGAGCGGGGAATGACGTTAGCACAATGCCGTGTTGGGAGGCTCGGGGACGGTAGAGAGACTGGCCTGGTGGGCCGCTGGATGGCCGAGTCATCGGGTGACTAGGGAGGGGGAACGCCCTGATATGGCATCAACTTATAAGCTATATTGGCTTTACTGAGGAAAAACCGCAGAAACACGTATGCCTTTACACAAAATAATGCATGATGCCTTATTTATCCTAAAAAAAGAGAGTAAAATTGAGTTTGAAATGCCTACCCATGCACCCTTCGTATAAAGTTGTTGAGCAAGCCTTGGTTTATTGATTTCAAACAAAAAAGCAACTTTATCAAGCAACCAAGAAGTTTCAAAGCAGGTGAATTTAAAGTGTAAAAGTGTATAAACTTGTAAAGAATAACGGTTATTTCTGACATATTAAATTTAAAAAAATCGCACCGTAGTAGAACTCTTTGAATAGAAACTGAAATTTTCTTAAAACAAATTACACTGCCTGAAATGCGGATATAGGCCTATCGAAAGCATTATGCATGCACATATCACTTAGTTAAGATTCCGCCAATTTCTCACTGATAAAGATTTCCAAGGGCAAATTTGTTAGGAAGCCAACGGGGCGGTTGCAGCCAAACGCGGCGGGGTGAGGCACCGCCACGCGCCGCTCCCTCGTGGCAGAAAATCTACGGCCGTCCAGCCAGCTCAGTCTTAATCTGGGGATTAATTCATCAGTTAGCGACATCCGATCAGTGAATGGAACGGCAATTGGGGGGAAGTCATTGGGAGGACAGACTAGCGACTGAAGGCAGGGTGGGGAAGCGGGGTGGGGTGAGGGAGGTTATTAAAGACAGACAGAGTGGGGGGGGGGGGGGGGGGGGGGTAGGGCACCGAACGCATGCATGGGCTAGCAAAACATTGAAAAAGGAGAACCGGAATTAAGACGTGAGAGAGCATGGGGAGGATTTGGAGGCAGAAGCGTTCAGGGTAGAACACAATCTTTCTTGTAGAGGAAGACACAATTTGTGCAGACTTCACAGAAACAGATGTACAATCGAAAACAAGGGCATTGAGGGAAATGGATTAGGACACAATGCGCAAAATGCATTTCATGCGCAAATAGGTACAGTGCAAATGGAAATGCCATTGGAATGGAGAAAAAAATGAGTTGTGTTACATACATGTAATTGGCATTTTCTCATCAACCCAATGTGCTGTTTTCATGATTTTTTTTCTTCAGTATTTGAAAGAAAAAGCTCTCAGGTTTAATCTGATACCAAAACATAACAATTCACAGATCACGTTTTTGAGAAAAAAAAAGCCAATGTTTCAGCGTTGCATTTTTTGGGATCACCGGTCACCCTGAATATTAATTCCGAATTTTGCTCCATTTTTTTCCCTCAGATGCCGTATGTTCCTTGCTCTGTGTTATAACTTAGTCAAGTAGGACAAGACGACCGTCTTCAAGACGATAGATTAAGGGGGATGTGGCCCGTCCCGCCTACTAAAGACCCCCGCTGAATGATGCCCGGTGTAACCCCCGCCATATCAGCACCAATTTATTTGACCAAACTTGAACCCGCCGACAGGCTCAGGAGCAAGAAATGGGCGGGGTGCGCTCGACGGCCATTTACGGGCAATTAATGGACAACAGGTGGCGGGATCTGGTGACTGAAATCGTGAACAGCCGCTGTCTGGGTTTTGAACATGATGCGGCAGAAAAGTAAAAAGTGTGAGGCGTTTTGATCACAATCGTACAAAGTCCAAGTTTTTTGAGGGGAAAAAAGCAAAATTAATACCGCACTCTTATATAGCGCACGTATCTACCAACATTAGGACTCAAGGCGCTGGAAATTATGTCTATTACTAAAGACAGGTAAATGAAGTCTATGAGAAATATGAGACCCATTATAGCACCTTATAAGGGTTTACAAGGTGCTGCGGCGCATATTGCAGCCACTGCCAGAAACACCGGGGCAAACCCCTCCTCTTAGTGTTATGGGTTCTTTAACGTGTATTACACAACACACGTGACCTACGGCTTTACGTCCAATCCGAAGGACGAAGCAATAATTTGTAAAGTGCCATGCTTAAGAGCACAAGTACCATGTTCCCACGGTCAGGATTCGAACCCATGTACCGTACCACGGCACACGAGTCGAACACCGTAACCATTGGACCACAGCACCCCAATTGAATATGCGAGGCAAAATTGAGAGGTAAAATGGAGTAGTAGTATCATAGGCTACACTCCTTTAAACTGTTTCGGTAATTTTTGTAAAAAAGTGTTCCAAAGAAAACATTGCTTGTTCAAGATGCCTTTGGATTTCCAGATGTTCAGACAATAGACAGAATATGCTTTCAAGACCTTAACTCCACACAGAGACGATATTTCATCGGCAAATATTATAATGCAGTTGAGTATTGGCACAACTTTGTATTTCTTTGTAAGTTTCGCCTTGAGCACTGCATCATCGCATGATGTGTCACTGCCGTTCACGATACCACGGGCTACACGTAATCTCGAAGGGCGCACCCTCCCGTTCGCGTCCCTGGGTTTCAGGGAGTGGCCTTCTTAGCCGGTGGCACTATCAGTGCCCTCGATACGAGACTAGTCGTTAACGCCCAGCGTCACTTGCTCTGTCGCTCCAGATAGCGGGCCAGACGGTCCCGTAGCCTCGTCTCAAGGAAGTCCCGTTAATTTGGCTTGTTGGCGAGGTGCTGATATGGGCCGCTGGTAACCCGCAATCAAATTCGAAAACAAATATCAGGGCGGACTAGTACCAGTCCTAGCCTGACTCCGATTCGGAAGCCTCCTTTCCAATACAAAATATTTGTTTACGTTCGAAACATTTGACTCCAAAACTGAAACAGGAACGGCACAAGAATACAAAAAGAACATGCATAAAAAAACCTCTTTTGGCCTACATATCAATAACCTCTTTACACTTATTTGCGGGAAAATCTGCAAGGAAACTTACCAACCAAACTCAACGCATGCAGCAAAACAATCAAAAAGTCACCCCAGAATTTCCTGTCCCCGACTAGTGGCCATTCACAAAACTCGATACATAGCCGATACCTGTTAAGGCCTTGAAACGAGCTTTTTGATTGGTCGTGAGTCAGTTGTAAGTCACGCGGTGACTAGCGAATTCCAAGGCCGTGATTGGTCGAAGTTTTTCACTGCCCGATTACATATAGCAAACTGGTGACCATTCACGAAACTCGATACATAACCATACCTGTTAAAGCCTTACAACGAGCTTTTTGATTGGTCGTAAGTCCTCATAAGTCACGCCGCGGTGACTAGCGAATTCTGACGCCATGATTGGTCGAAGTTGTTTTCATTGCCCGATTACATGCGCGTTAGAACGAACCGGCATTTAATGACATTGTGCAGGAAATGTTTCGGTCTCACGTCACATATTATAGTAAAAAAATTGGAACATTCAGACAACATGAATTCATACATCCTGTCACATAGATGTAGTTAAGACCGTCTTGAAAGACACGTCTCTATGGGAACGGCAACATTGTGAACACATTGACGAATGGGTACTTTATCATTCATCATTCTAGTTGAATTGACAAGTTAATAAGCCCAGGTCTTTGTCATGCAAATTAGGAACGTGATCCACGGTTGCACCAAGTATTCACGTAAATTCAAATATCTAAGATTATGTTTTCTAAATGAAACAACATTTAAAAGGGAATATACCACATTTGCTATTTGCTGTAATTTTCAGAAATTGGTGGATGTGGGGGGTTGGTATTTTATAGCAAATATTGTTACATTGACTTGTTTGAAGTTTTGTGTTCGTAGATGCTGGAAAACCAAGAAAAACAACCATGTTCCTGTAGTCTGGTTCCCTGGCCCACTTAAGATGTAATGGAGCAATTTATTGACGATGGGGAATTGTAAGGTCAGGGAACCAGTCATACTTGGGTAATCGATTGCAAACAAATGCGAACTAACTAAATATGCTAAACTGGGGCACTATTTGAAAAAAAAAGCCATTTTCTCCAACGCCGGTCAGCCGACCATCGTTGGAAATTGATACAAAAATACTACTTTTCTTTAAAGTGACAGCACACCAGGTGCCATGATTTCACAGGATGCTTTAGACTGTCAATCACTAACAGTCCAGTAAGGTATTTCTCAATAATTTGAAAGTTTTGCTTTTGATGTTTGCAAATGTTGTATATTCCCTATAAGGACATAAAACAATTTCTCCCCCAATAAAGTAAATACGAAATCACAGCCAAGATTAAAACCTAATACATATAGAATCAAAGATTCTGGGTTAAGATGAAAAGTTTTATTTCCGTTTTCATTAAAAAGTAGTTCATGGTCAACTTTTTTTTTAAAGTTCTTAAACCCAACCCTTCCTTATCTGATTTTGATACCAATTTTGTTTAAGCGCACAAAAAATGCCACGTTTGTTAAATTTTGGAAGGTTTTAGAAAAGTTTCCAAGCAAAACGACCCAGGAGGTTCGGGTTTAAGAAAGTTCAAATTCTCACCAAAAAAGGTATGATTTTTTTTTGTAACAACTTATTCATGTCAACACCAACTGTGGCGAAAGATGTACACTGTACATAGGGGTTAATCTCCCATTGCATAAACACATGAAGTTTTCTTTCCTTAACCGACAAATATACATTTTTACACAATGTACAAAATTCATTTTATTTATGTATACAAAATGACCGCAAGTTCTACCCCAGTTCCAAGAGGGTAGAACAAGCCTATTATTTTAGTCCTCCAAAAAGTTGACAATACCGCCTAAAAAAGGCATCTTCCAAAACTGACGATAAAATCCTTTTTTTTTTTCAGTATAAAATTGTAGTCACTTTCTTTTAGTATGAACATTTGGAAGAAGTGTAACCGTCATGTTACATTTCACTGATCCTGATACGAGAAAGAGGAATATATTCGTATTGATGGGGAAAAGAACCGACAAAAAAAAAAAATGGTTTTGCTGATGTAGACTGAAAAATCCTGTTAAATTCTAAAATGATTTCAAATTCATTTAATTGTTTGGAATATGTCATTATTCCAAACAAAAAAGTTGAGAAGGAAAAATCACGGATGGTCACTTTGAAAAAAAAAAAAACGAAAGCAGGAAATTAGGTTACAAAAAATTCACGAATGAGACATCCGCAGAGCCGAAGAGAGACGTTCTAAACTTTCGACAAAAGATTTATTGACGGTTGACAGAGGATGTCAGGAACAATTGCCGTAAAACTTTCCATCTTCATTCTGTCTGACAGATCAGAAACAAATCTGCGAACGGTTTGTCTTTTCCTTTTGGGGAACGGTCGTGCTTTTTCTTTTGGGGGAAGTCTTTCCGGAGTACGTCGCGGTGACTTATGTCATCTGTTGTCGATAAATCCGCATTAAAAAAAATAATCTTTTGTGATGACGTCGGGCTTGTTGCATCTCAATCACTGTCAGATCCCCCTAGGGCGTTGGACTTTTTCCTCTTCTTCGCTGGTTTAGGTTTGCTGCTTGAGATATCGTCGTCCTGGGAACAAGAAACCACAAGAAAAAAAAAATCAAGAAGAATAGAAAGAAATCAGGTTTATCAGAACTGACATCTTTGATTTCCCTGAGCGTCTTTCCTAAGGGACGACGCACTGATGTATATATTGACTAATGTCTCGTCAAGTGTTGCCGGCTGTTATGCGTTTAACCGGTTGGTTTGACAAGAACTTTCTTTTTTTTCAGGGTTTAGTGAAACAATGGGTTAGGTGAGCTTAACTTGCCAAGAGAGACTTCAATATTTACTAAACTTATTTTATTCACTCCTTTCTGTTGTTGTTTACATGTTTGTTTGTTTATTCACTTTGTTTCCTAAATATCTACCCACCCTGAAGAAATTAGAAAAAATTATGGTACACTGGAACGTCGCTATGGGCTCCATGCGCCAACAAAAGAGGGCGCCCTTGTACCTAGCAACGACGTCCCATGGGCGGGAATTAGCTGGTTGACGTGCAACGTTCCTTGTGTGTGACGCACGTACACCGGGGGATTTGTACTACATGTATGTACACGCAGTGGTACGGCCGCGCGTCGCAGCAAAACTGCAGTCAGGCAAGATGGCGTCGGTCGGTCACCCCCAACTGTACTTTCTTTGCCGGTGAGGGGATTCTTGTGAATGGAGCGGATACTGAACACCGCTATAAGGAACACCGCAATACCGAACATTGTGCTTGGCTCCCGACTTTTGATTACAAAATTTACTGAACATTGGTGCTGAAAATGTCAACAGAGGAGCGACAAGTTGCTGTTATTTCACCAAGGAATAGAAGGGGAAAGCCACCCATTGCTGTAGGTAGTAAGCTCAAAAACTGTGTAATTACTTAATTCAGTAGTCGGCACGTGTTCAGAGTCATCTTTCAGTAACTACCAGGGCGTGCAGGGTGAAGTTCTGAAGGGGCTATTTATTGAAAAGTGAGTACCGGAGCACCGGCAGCTTAAAATCGCTATACCGAACGATCACTATTACAAACAATTTCTGTGGATTCAGATTGAATAGCCAGCTACTTTGTTATGAACAAAATCATTTTTCTCTACAAGCCTGTAAAAATCTAGAACCAAATTTCCACTTTTTCATAATAAATTACCAGGATTGTGAAAACTTTTTTAACAACCACACCAACTGCTGCGGAAATAACTACGCCAAAACTGCAAGCATGTCTGCAAAGTTTCAGCAGATATTTTTACGTTCTAATGAATACGATCCTAGTAGAAAAATTCACCGAGTTAAACAAAAAAATCCTGACCTGATCTGATTCTGAGGATGATTCCACGTCATTCTGCGGTGCCTTCCGGTTCTTAGGGCTAGATGAACCTGGTGACCTCCGCGTGACTCGACTCCGCGTCGTCCGCGATGTCATATCGTCTAGATCCTCTATCAGCCCAAACAGATCGCTATATCTGAAAAAGAGGTGGAGAAAAGGGAAGGATATAAGTGTTGTGTTCTGCCCACCCAGCGCTAATGACCAAAAAAAAAAAAAACCCTCGCCTATTTTTATTTCCTTGTGAAGCATTGGCACACAATGTGGCACGTACTCTAGCAATTTGTCTTTCATGACGGAACGGCAGTGAATGATTGATAACTCCCGATGCTTGTAGGCGCCGGTCTAGGAGCAGATGTTTCTGATATTTACAGGTTTGCGGCCTCCAAAGCAAAGAGTGTTGCTCTAACTTTAGCCACTTAAATCTTGGCAGTATGAAAGGTAATATACAACATTTGCTTTTGCTGTGATTTTCAGAAACGGACGGATTTAGGGGTTAGGATTTTACAGCAAATATTGTTACACTGACCTATTTAAAGTTTTGTGATCATAGATGCTGGAAAAACCAAGAAATACAATGCTGTTCTTGTAGCCTGGTTCCCTGACCCTACTTCAGACAAAAGGGAGCTATTTATAGATGTCGGGGAATTGCACCCGCTCACGGATGTGTTACCAGTTGTAAACCAAATGTGGACTAACTAAATTTGGTAAATTGGGGGCAGTATTTGAAAAAAAGTCTAATATGAATGAACTAATTATGTATGAAGGCAAAAAAATTGGGCATGGAGAAAAATAGGCAGGCACCTGTTTGCATTTGTACATTAATGAGTAAAACAGTACAGTAAACTAGACTGAAATGGACACAGCATGGAGCCAGATTAAAAACGGTGTCCAAATATTCATCTAACACTCAGGGATGTTTCATTGGTTCACTGTTGGCACAAGTTAAGCCTCATTCGCAAATCTACTCAATTGTATTTCCCTGGTACCCTGAATGAAAATAGACAGGTGCTTGTCTGTAATCTGCACAGTAATGGAATAGCAGTATAGGAAACTAGACCATAATGGACACTGACAGTTTCCCTGGTGCCCTTCAACTCTTTCCTATGTTGAGTGACTTACTTCATTTTCTGGGCGTCGGTGCATGCACTCTGTATTGTCTGTAGTCCGAGTAACACGGCCTCCTGACTGAAAACTGGACGAAGAAAATAAATCAATATAATCAAATTCATGAAAAGAGGCAATCCAGTGACATGACACTGAAGATTCCGTTAGCGAAAAAGATCATTATTCGTCAAGCTTTGCTGTAACTGGTACAATAATACGGAACAATTTGCATGTACAGTTGAGAACCATGACTTCTCTAACCTCATTCAAAACTGAGCTACATAAAACGTTCAGTCAGTAATATTTCTGCAAATATGTATTGTTTTTGCTGTCTTCACTGGTTATACAAATCTACATGTAAATATGTGCTGATCTACTGAGTTAACAAACTTGGTTGCTATATTAATAAGGAGCCGGATAGGATTTTCCCCGTGTTGTCTGAGTCTCCCAAAAGGGTTTTTCGCTGTTTTTTCCGCCCCTATCGTAATCAGCGAACGTATTTCCTTGATGTCACAAGATATGTCCAAATTCTTTGTGTTCACCGAATTCACTTTATAGTAAAGCCTAATAGCGATGTTGTTTCACACATGTAGTTGTAATAGGTTTAACCCTAACCGCCCTGAATCCTTCAAAATCCTCTTTGCCAAAGTGGAGGAATTTGGAGGATTGAGGTTACATGGCAAAAGTGCGTTACTGATTTCGTAGGATGCACTTTGTCAAGGTCTTGGGCCGGACCTTCTTTTGTTTTTTGCTCAGCCATGCATAAATATAAGGCCTGGATTATGCTTGAAATCCTCCGTACTGCTCCAGGATGTCACTGGCTCTGCCTCAACATATTGACAGTCACTGCTGCAGGATTTTGCAGGATTCAGGCAGTGGTCACCGCTCCACGGACCATATTCAAGAAATAGTGGAGGAATTTGCAGGATTGAGGCTATATGCTATTTTTCCATGAGGCCAATTGGAGGATTTTGCAGGATTGAGGCTACATCCTAGCAAAAAGGCCTAGGGAGTTAGGGTTAACCCTTTCATTACCACATTGTTTATTGACTTGGCTCTCCCCAGGACCAAATTGATTGCTCAGTCATGCGGAAATCACTAGAGCGTGAACAAAATGACCACAAGTGGAAAACTACCTTTTTTTCAACCCAAGGAGTGGTTAGAATCATAGGTGTTGTATGTAAAGTTTGTTCCTTGAAACTTGCTCTTTTATGCGATGTAAAAATGAAGCCCATATGTGCAAATATAGGAAAGTTATGCCTTTTTGTTCATCTGGTTCCATTTATCAAACTGCAAGCCATTTCACCACATGACCAAATGGCACTCCATACCTCAAATTGTGCGTGGATACTTCTGAAGCACTTTTCTCAATTTTTTGTAATGGAAACACTATGAATAAACTACACCATTAGAACGATCCGAAAACACTCTTTCAGCTGGTATATGGTTGATGTATGGGCGGCCAAACATATCAACATGCCGCCTTTCTGAAAAGTAGTAAATATATCTGTGTTGAGGGTGTTCTGCGTGTGGTTTCCTGGTCGACTAAAGTCGCCCATGGGAATCAGCAGGGGGGTAGTTCTTGTCGACAAAAGTCGCTCATGGTAAGGAAAGGGTTAATTCAATTTGTTTTTAATTGGCATATTAATTAGCATAATCAATAATAATGACTCACACATGGATTGTCTGATGGCGGATGTTTGCCGTAGTGCCTCTAGGTGGCCAAGAATCTGGTCAGGTGAAGGGATGTTGGAGGGCTTGCTCGTTTGTCTGAAATCAAACAGATGGAGTGAATTGGAAACAAAATTTGCACCCAAAAAACGTTTTTTCTTAAGGCCTATTCAGACTAGACAAATCTCAGGGTTGACGCGGGGTTGAAAACATGCAGCATTTCACACTTCAAAATTTTCAACCCTGCGTCAACCCTGAGATTGATTTTGCCCCGGGTTGAACTCAACCCTGCTCCAGACCAGGGTTGAGATTTTTACCCGGGTTAAAACTCTCGCCAGGGTTAAAAAAGCAGTAACTGAGGTACAAAACAAGTGTGAAACGATGCGGGGTTGAATGCAGGGTTGCAAAATTAAAAACTCTACCCGGGCAGCAATGGGTTCACCCAGGGTTGAGTTCAACCTGGGTTGAGAGGCTCCAGTGTGAAAAGGGCTATATATATACGTACATTGCAAAGTTGACTTTTACCAAAAATTTGACCCATCAGAAGAAACAGCAAACGTGACTACACAGCGTGTCCCAATAAACATTGTGCATGAAGAAATCGCTGATTTTCTCAAAAGTTGGTCAGGCTAGCTAATCAAATTTCATAGCATTTTCAAGCCTATGGTCTTGTTTGTAATTGGTAAAAAAAATCAAGAAAATCCAATGATGCAAAACAGAGATATCTTTGTTTTGGTAAGGCTATGTATTTTTGGACCTGCATAACGTAATTTCCACACTTAGTATAAATTTGCTGGTACATGTACATGTATTAAACCTATTATTGGGTTTGATATGTGTTACGCAGTGCTTGAAATACTGCATGGCCTTTATGTAAAAAGATTTCATTTGTAAATAAATAAAAGAAGAAACAGCATAGCTAGAGGTATTTATTTGATTGTTCATCGAAGGAGATTATTCAAAAGCATGTGGTAACTGCTCTAATTGCAAATTACTTGAGAGTCAACGTTGTATAGCCCCTTCTGACGTTCTTTGTTAACATGCTTAACTACAGGATTCTAATTGTTCAGGAGGAAAATAATATAGCCTTACAAAATCAACGATATCTCTGGTTTGCATTGATGGATTTTCTTGATGTTTTCACCACTTATAAACAAGACCATAGGCTTTAAAATAATATAACATTTGATAAGCTAGTATGACCACCTTTTGAGCAAATCAGCGACTTCTTCACGCACAATGTTTATTGGGACGTGCCGTATGAAACAAAACCACCAAAAAAACCCACAAAATTGAAGCTGCATCTTTGTTTGATTTTGCAACTCAGCTGTTTGTTATCAGCTCCCGTTTTAAGAGACACAAAGACGACAAATCTTCACCTTTGTCGTAATCGCTTGGCGGAGGTTGTAGCTCGGACTAGTAACGTCTTGATGAAGTCGGCGAGATGCTGCTCGTCCTGAACGGCCCAGTAGCTCAGGATGGAGGACACGAACCTATCGCCGTCCTTACACGGCCGCAACATCAACGGTTTCAACAGATCAAGGGATATTCTGAAGAGAAGACGAACGAACAGCAGATCTCTTAAACTTTGTCCATGGAATTATTGAGTTTGTTCATGGAATGTGAATTAGATATCACTAGACATTCGCTGTAAAATTCACCGGAGTTGAACTGTGTTCCACTCTTGCAAATTTGCAGCATTAAAACCTGTCATGATGTCTCGCATTCGCTTTTGCTCGAAAGTTATACCGGCCATCACATTAAAGGGAATGTACAACATTTGCTTTTGCTGCAATTTTCAGAAATGAATGGATTTGGAGGATTAGCATGTTATAGCAAATATTGTTAAACTGACTTGTAGATTCTGGAAAAACCAAGAAAACCAATCATGTTCTTGTAGTCTGGTTCCCTGACCCCACTTAAGATGAAACAGAGCAATTTATAGACTTTGGGGAATTGTAAGGTCAGAGAATCAGTCTAGCAGGCTTGTACCCCTTCACAGGTGTGTAATCAATTGCAAAGAAAATCCGGAATAACTAAATATGAAAAACTAGGAGCAGGTTTTTGAAAAATACAGTTTAAAATATGTGAGCTGATCTGACAAAATGTGAAGTGGTAAGGTCCAAAAAAGCAGGCTGTGAGGATTTAATATAAAAAGATTGAGCAGAAAAAGAACTTTCTAACAGTAAACAACCTGGTGGGTGTCATGTTCAGGCATGCAACTTAGAAGTAACAAAAAAAAAGAGGAAACTCCAATCTTTACAAGACTTTGTACAGTATTTTTCAATTTGTAATGGCATAAGTTTGAAGTGAGAAAAAAGGAAATCAGCTGATCCGAGGAAAAGTTGCATGCCTGCATGTTATTCTAATAGCCAGATCTAGCAATTATTAAAAAAAACCACCAAAAAAACGAGAATCGATCTTCAACGGAAGATGGTTGCAAATGAAACCCGGATGTAAGGGGCGATTCAGAATAGTCAATGCTTAAAAATTTGGATATTTTTTTTGAAATTGTTTTGACCCACCCACCCACCCAAAGTTCGACTTTTAAATATTGAATGACTATTCAATATATCCTATACACTGAAGAACAAAGAAATGCTTCAAATGAAGCAGATATTTTAGGTCAATGGTCTCTCAGCTCAGGAGTTTTCAACAGCAAGGGTAACACCTAGGTTAGTGTCCTTTCACGCAGAGCTTTGATAAATAAACCGTCCAAAACATAAAACTTTCAGGAATTTCAGGCCATAATGCCCCTTTAACCGATAACAATGGAACAGCACAGACATGACAGACATGACAGACGATCTCGAAGAGACCCCTGAGTATTTTAGGGTTTTCCCCCCTTCTTCTTGTAACAGACAGAGTCTTAAAGGCTTTTCTGGGGGTAAATTCAATCTTCAACAGCTGAGATATACCAACACAGTTAACTAAACTGATAAACGCAAGACGCCAGGCGGGAAAAAGTTCGCTCGTCACAAGTTCACGTTTCTCATTAATGAAATTATATCGACTTCCTCCATTTTATTACAAACAGAGGAAGCGTGATGCGGGATAAGTTAGTCCTGTGGAAGGAAAAGGGGCCAACAGACGGAGGACATGTGCCACCTTGGGCAAAAACGAGGGAACAACAAGTTATTCTAAAATTTTGGGGCCCGTTTGACCCCAACTTTTGCCCTTTGTAAGCACCGTGACGTGGGATAAGTTAGTTCTGGGGAAGGAAAAGGGGCCAGCAGACGGAGGGCATGTGCCACCTTGGACAAAAATCAGGGGAACAACAAGTTATTCGAAAATTTTGGGGTCTGTTTGACCCCAACTTTTGCCCTTTGTAAGCCCCGTGACGTGGGATAAGTTAGTTCTGGGGAAGGAAAAGGGGCCAACAGACGGAGGACATGTGCCACCTTGAACAAAATCGAGGGGAACAACAAGTTATTCTAAAATTTTGGGGTCCGTTTGACCCAACTTTTGTCCTTTGTAAGCCCCCGTGCGGATACTTGAAAAGGTCAAGCAAATGCGGAGGAAATATTTCTCATCCGATCGGCCAAACCACAAATGATATTGTCAAATATTTTTTTAGGAAAACGGTTTTCATCTTTTGACAAACAACAGAGACAGAATGAATGACCTGATTAGTTTTCGAGGCAGATCACAGACGTCGGTACTTTTTCCTGGATTGTGTTACCAACGAAACAATTCTATGTCAAATTTTGTTCGGGGGGGGGGGGGGGGGGGGTCAGTCACAATTTCAAAACATATATTATATCGATTTATGAAGTTCTGAGAGTTTCAAGGCATTGGGAAAGTTTCTGAAATGATTTGTAAAGTTTTAAAAGTTGTACAAAAATACAGTAACTGTTTTGGGTTTAGCGCGTTCCAACCACCCATCCAATGCCACTGGTGGTTTCAAATCGCTCACAAAACTCTGTGAAGGAAATACATGCTTGCAAGGCATTGTGGGTATAAATACTGCAATGATCAATGTACGACCCAGTTCAAACGAAATTCGTCCAGTGAGTGCTCAAACAGGGGCCGTATCATAAGTCCGACGCCTCATAGGTCCGACGCCTCATAAGTCTGAAATTTCGGACTTATGAGGCGTCGGACTTATGAGGCATAAAATTCATTTATTCCACCTCATAAGTCCGACGCCTCATAAGTCCGACGTCGGAAAAACGAGGCGTTTAAGTTGTCGGACTAACGAGACGTTGGAGCTATGAGGCATCGGAGCGATGAGGCGTCGGACTTATGAGGCGTCGGTCCTATGGCCATGCCCCCCCCCCCCTTCCCCAAAACGAACCCATTTTTTTTTTAAGTGACGTCGCAATAAAGGTAGGCACTGCGTACACCAACACCTTTTCATCAAAATAATTTGGTTTAAGTGGTCAGAAATTGCCTCAGATCGCACAACAGAGCATCTAAAATCCAATCATTTTTTTTGACCCACTTTATGGGGACCAACTTTTTTGGCCCCCCCCCCCCCCCAGAAATAATTGTGTTCTGGATCTGCCCTTGCCCGACCTCGATGAACCCTACTATCAAAATTATCCACCACCTTAAGCTTTTTATAAAATCCCTTTGTCACAATAATCGCACGATCACTGTTTTGTCTTGATTCTAATCAGGCGAGGAATTCCCCCACCTCCCTCTGATAATCTGTTCCACCTCAACGCGACCAATAAATCTTGAAGTACAGGAAACGGCTATCAAATTTATTCTGTACACATGGGTCATGGTTCAAATCGGGGTTCTAACGAGCCCCAGACAGTTCGCACAGGTGGTCTGGTTTCGGACTCGCAACTGAGGTGTTAAGAACATGATGGTGTATGTCACGTCCCCCCCCCCCCATCCCCCCCCCCGGGGTTGCACCAGCAGGGAATTAACACCTTGCGCCGGTTGGTGCCATGACTTGAACTTCCCATTGCTTGCTAGTGTCATACCAGAATCTTTGTTGTTTTGATTTTTGCACGCTCATAAAAAAGAGATGATTTCAGCCAGAGGGCGCTTTCTAATTTACTTTTGAGGCTTCAATTTTTTAAAGAGGTTGAGGAATGCTGAAAGTCGTTTTTTTTTTTTATTATTGTAGAGTAGACCCATATATATCATAATGACAAAGTCCCATTCTTTTGTAATGTGCGTTTATATGTTTATAAAACTCAAATTCATCGAGTAATTTGTTGGTCGGCGAGCGCATAATTGAAATCAACAGTCGTCGGGTTCTTCGTAAAATGAGAAAAATCGTGACGTAATAAACAGGACTCGTTTATACTACGCTGCATCGGGAGTCCTGTTTATTACGTCATGATTTACTATGTTTTGTTTGCTGCCCCCAACGACGACTTTTACACAAATTGCACGTTCGGGTCGAAACAGGACCTGAAAAACAGCTCTCAAAAGTACCTTTTGTACTCATTTCATGACAGACACAATAGTCGTTTTTATTTCATCACACCATAGGCTACATATACCCGAAAAATGACGGAAATGTCTTCGAGCATTCCACAACCTCTTTAAGCTCTGGCAGGAGCTTCTATATATGTCACTTGGTGTCGGTCCATCTGTCTGTCTGTCTGTCTGTCTGTCTGTCTGTCTGTCTGTCTGTCTGTCTGTCTGTCTGTCTGTCCCCAAAAATTGACCAAAAATAATTGACTAATTGACCAAATGCCATGCCATGGTCATACAATGCTCTGTCACTGACAGTTTCGGAATAGCGATTTTGTTTCGATCGATGCGCATATATTTTGCATATTATGTCTGTCCCCGAAAATTGACCAAAATATATGTTTCCCACAAAATCTAAATACCAAATTTTAATTTAAAAAAACAAAGAACAAAAATCAAGTCACGTGGTATTTATCACAAATCGCTATAAGTCTAGGTATACATCTGAAGTATGGTGTTCCATACGTGCCATCGGTGTCGCATTTTTGGGTGTCGCATTTTTAAACTCTGGCAGGGATCATTTTGATAGATTTTCTGCAAGACTTTCACGCAAGACTTTCATGCAAGACGGCCAGAGCTTATTGTGCACTCGCACTTGTTTATTGATTTGTCACATTAACAAAAATGTTGTCTGCATTATAATAAGCAGAAGTTTCTAAATTCTGAGGCTGTAAAGTTTTTCTAACTCACTCTCGGACATAACTGAGCAACAACACTATATCACTATTACATCAGAAAAGGCCGATACCCAAGATTAAACTAATTACACCCAAAAATGAAACTCTTATCCAAAATTAGCTTTTAGGACGATGACTTTGATTTGATTTCAATGTGCAAAGGACCATTTCCCATGTTGAATGTAGAAATAAGAAAAAAACAAAACCACAATTTTTGTCGGGTAATTTAACCTCGATACAGAAAAATAAGATTGTATGTTGTCATTAGTTATCTTTATACTACCCTCCTAACACATACTGTATATTTTAGGGTTGTCAACATAAAGCGAAGGGGAAATGAAAATTTGTTTCTGGTATTTCATCAACACTTCTTGCCACTTTTTTAAAGGTAATTATACAACATTTGCTTTTGCTGTAATTTTCAAAAATGGATGGATTTTGGGGTTATTATTGCAAAGGAAATATTGTAACACTGACTTCTTGGAAGTTTTGTGTTCGTAGATGCTGGAAAAACCAAGAAAAATAATAATGTTTCTGTGGTCTGGTTCCCTGACCCCACTTATGATGAACGGAGCAATTGATAGACGTCGGGGAATCGTAAGGTCAGGGAACCAGTCTAGCTAGCTTGAACCCATTTGTACATGTAGGTATGTAATGGATGAAAAACAAAATGCTGACTAACTAAATATGGTATACTGGGGGCAGTATTTGAAAAAAGCCAGTTTTTTTCAACGCTGGTCGGCCGACCAGCGTTGAAGTTACCGTAATTTTCGGAATATAAGCCGCGGCTTATACGTTGATTTTGCCCATGAAAATGTTTACTGCGGCTTATACACAGGGCGGCTTATACGCCGAGCCTTGAAGAATAAAAATGAAATTCACATGTGTATTTAATGTACTGGTATAAGAAGAGATATGTTGCTGAAATGAATTATCAATTAAGAAAGTCATTAACGAACCGAAACCACATGCCACGTAAAGGTGCCGAGCGGTAAAAAGTACGGTGAAAGCTGTCTTCGATCGACGCTTGCAACAAGCTGTACGTGATTCTAGTGCTGTATATATATGCTGCATGCAGCATGCTTTCCCTAGCGGACCACACCATTTGAGGTAATATAGGGGTGTACTATCTTGGAAACAATAATTACCAACATTTCCGCTGTTTAAAAAAAGAAAAAAAGACGACTAATTCTTTTTATGGTGTTTGAAACATTTCTTTATTCGATAATCAGTTGTTCAACGTCAAAATATAATTTTTGTACTTGAAATGTATTCAAGAAACGATGTTAACCTCAAAACAGGGACTATATCACCCCTTACAAAATTAATGGATTCGTCCATGAAAATGGCAGCATCGCTTTGACTATTTTCGAAGAAAGTTACGATCGAAACTTGAATACTGCTCGTTAGTTATCACAAAAATTTGATAAGTTTTGAGATAAAAACGGACCTGTATATTTTTAGGGCAAAACAAATCAGCATCTGTTGCCACAAAGCAAGATTTGTACGTAGCGCTCCAGTCAGACAACACACGCAATGGGGGAAAATCACGGTGGGTTGCATACTCTCTCACGTGCAGCAGGAAAATGTTGTCATAGCCGGGCGATGTATTAACTTTTACGGCCGGGGACCAGACGGGGCAGCCGGCAGCAATTCCCGGTGTTTATTTCTCATCATCAATTTCCACATTTGTTTGTGAGAGTATCGATTGTAAATGATTTGATACAACTTTTGTGGCCCTTTTTATAGCTTCTGTAGTGTAAATGGAACTGGTTCAGAGCATTTTGGCTAGAATTTGGAGGCCTTACAAAATTGAAACCGCTGCCGTAGGTGCGGCTTATACGCCGGTGCGGCTTATACGCCGACTTCAAATCTCAATTTGCAGATTTTTGCGTGCTGCGGCTTATACGCCGTGCGGCTTATATTCCGAAAATTACGGTAATACAAAAATACCACTTTTCTTGAATATGACAACACACCAGGTGCCACGATTTTACAGGATTAGTCCAGTTAGGTATTTCATAATCATCTGGTAGTTTTGTTTTTTGATGTTTGCAAATGTTGAATGTTCCCTTTGAACACAAATTTGAGCACTTTTTTAAACATTAAGCATGCACAAAAGACGAAGAACTGCTTTACCTCATAACAACGGACAAAAGTTATGTGTGACATGACGTGAGACGCAATATGAGGTAGATGATTGATGGCTCAATTAGACTCAAATATGCCCACGGGACGAAGATCGGAGCCTGCCCATTATGCCCCGCCCGATATGCCACGCCCAGTCTCGACAGCCACACCCTAAAACCTTGATTAAGCAACCTCGTCCCCAGGGTGTTGAGCAGTACGCACCCACCACTACCTGCTCTCTCACCCTGGTATTGGATCAATTGCATGTGCAAACAGTTTGAACACGTATGCAAAAGAGGAATAGTCTGGTGCCTGCACGTGCGTTACATTACCGTTTGTTTCTACATGGGGGTAAAACCCGCATCAATTTGTTGCGGTGTGAGTTACAAAAACATGATTGTTTTCAAAGTTAAAATGGTACAATCTTATCCCGCCAATATGCAGTATCACGTTTCATGTTAATATGAGAAATTTGGAATGGAAAGGAGTACTTTTGAGCAGGCGTGGACGTTATTATTGCAATGATCATGAAAACACGTAATACACGTTGAAATTACAACACCAACTACACGATATAAATCCATTACTAGCCAATTGCAGTATCGAATCAGGATACAGGAAGAAAGTTTCCTATTCAGGGCTTACTATTGGAAACGAGGTTGGAAATAAAGTAGGCACTGGGGACGAGGTTGCCTTAAAGGACCCTTCTAACGATTCGACTGTGTCCCAAATTCGAAGTAAGTTTCTGGTAGCTAGACAACTTCTGAAGCCCCAAGTCAAAATTCTTTGCTGAAAAATTGCTGCTGGGGTAGACAGCTACCAAATGTTTTGATTTTTCAAGAAATTTTCACTCACCTTTCTAGCTTCAACATGAGGAGTAAACTTGCCATGGCTTCGGGGTGTTCTGTAGAATAAAAAATAATACTTTCTATATTGTAGCATACTGAAAATACTGAAAATACTCAAAATTCAATTTAATGGAAAAGAAGAAATATATCACTGCCCTAATAAGATTCCCATAACAAATTGAGGCAAATGTGCAATGCCCATTATTATTAAGAAATCACTTTTATATTAATTGGGGAATAACAGTGTGAGGACTAGGTCTTCACTGCGTGGTAATGACCGGGTTGGGGGATGGCCGCTGTTAATGGACGGAGCCCATTAATAAATACTTTTTTAATGAAATAAACAGTTAAAATGCTCCAAATGTTGTGACTTTTCTTTCGTTTTTTTTTTCCCCGGACTTTTTGTGTTCATGTTCAAGGGCCATATTTTAGCTCATGCATGGTACCCTGTCTCTTCAATATGCATTGTTATTATCATCCTAGCCTAGGTTGGGGGACGTCTTCTTTGCATTATGACTGACGTCCAGGGTATGAACTTCTGCTGCCATAGCGAACAAAATTACAACAATTTTTTTCTCATATTTTTTACTGACGGAGGAAGCTGGAAGTTCGTTAAATATTCCTTGAGTCCAGAATTACAAAGATGCTCGGTTTAGAAAAGGTAAATATGTCCATGGGCGATGTGGTTACAGAAAATAAAACCACAGAAATATCCACGCTTTCGTCGTAAACATTCAGTACGAACATATCGTGTGAAGACTTACGCGCTGTATGCACGCCCTGCATAGCAGCAGTGTTGCATACGGGCGCATATGTCTTCACACGATGGTGGTTGGCTGTATTGTTACAAGCTACTATAGGACTGTTGTATGAATTTCGATATTTTTACTAATTGGACCACGAGCAATCGATCTAGCCCATTTGCGACAACAAAATAATTTTGCCTCTAAATAGGGGCTAAGGCATTAGGAAGACATTGAAATGTCTCCCTAATTCCACATGTCTCCCAAATGTATAACTTATGATGCTAAAATGTCCCCAAAATTTTGTGGTTGTATCGATATGTATAGCGCACATATCGACCAAACAGGATGCCATGGCGCGGTACCAAATTATTACCCCTGCTCACTGGGCCTATAAGGATTATGAGAGAACATTTTAAAACAAACCTTTGTATGTGAGTTTTGGAATGACCGCCACGAATTGATCCACGTCAAGATCGTGGGCTAGGAGAATCTGCCACACGCAGTACTGCTCAAACGTTTCCCATTCTAACGTCGCTTCTGAAAATTAAATAAAAAAATGAGTTCACTCCATCCATGTACTTGTGGGAAATAGAATCATTTAAGGTAAAAACCTGTTAAAGCCAGAGTCCATCATTTGCAGCTATCCCAAAAGTAACTGGCGTAATCATTGTTGAGAAACATACTTGGTTGAAAGATAGTAAGTGGACTAAACTCCCTGTGAAAGCAAAACTCCCTTTCTGGCAAGCTGTCATTTCGAAGAAATCAACGAAAGAAGGCCTTTCCAAAGGTGCGTCTTAAGAAGCACCGTTGGAAATTTGCGTTAGTAGTTCGTTTTTTTTATTCGGCGAAGCGCGCGCAAGCGTTGACACAACGCAAACGCACGCGCGGTTGCTATAATTCGTCGGATCGGTGCGCGACATCGCGTAGCTGCAATCGGCTCAGTGAGAACGTGTCTCGGACGCTGAATTCATGGCCCAATTCAAAACATGATTCAGCAACTTTTGATTTGAAATTGAGATCCTAGAATGTTGTTTTTCTCGAAATATACAGCTGAAGCTGAGCTGAAACTTCATCAGGTTGGTTGTTCAGCACCCTTCTTTAGATTTTGAGCACTTTTGTTGCTTCAAACGAACAAAATGCACAAATTACAAATGATGGACTATACCTTTAACTTGTGAAACGCAATCTCGACATTAAGAGATGCTTAAATTGGAAATCCAATAATTACGACGGTTTCAGTTTGTGAAAACAAAAGGAATGACTCTTGACTTCCATGTCAGTTCATGAAAACCAAAATGACTCGTTGCTAATGATGCAATGGGCATCGCGAGGGGGGGGGGGGGGGGAAGGGGGGCGCTTGCTCCCCCCCTTGGAAAAGCAGGAGAAAAAAAAAAAGGGGGAAAAAAGAAATAAAAAAAGTCATATTGCTGTTAATTTAATGGGTTGGGGGGGGGGCAAATGTCCCTGCCCACCCTTGAAAAATGATAAATTGAGAATATGCTTGAAAAGTACAGGGATTTCAGGGGGAAAATGTGCTTTGCCCCCCTCTAGAAATAAACTCAGGGGCCACCGGGTGTCAGTTTGTGATGTCAGTAACAAATCTGTTGGATTTTCTGAATTTTCTGTGTGAGCAAAGGTTACAAAAAGAATGAAAGTATACCAACTCGAAACAAGCAGATTTTTTTTCAGATTTTGTTTTACCTAAGACTTTTGCGATGTTTTCCTTCTTAAACATCATGAGGTTGCCTTGCATGACATCACAGATCAGATCTTGCAACTGCGAAGACAAAAAAAGTCAAGATGAAACTCAAGATCAAAAGTAATCAAGGTAGAATAAAAACAACAGAACTTTTAAGAGACCGAGAGAATTAAATAAAGTTATAGACTCATTTGGGGACCTCAACAAGCAGCCGTCACTGAAGCAGAACCACGTTTGCACGCAGGTGGTATTCGCGCAGTGGTACAATAATGATTTGGGGCTAATCACTCGCAGCTGAGAAGCTGAATTGCGAAGGACGCGGCTACAACGTGGTCGGGTCAAAGGCATGTAAAGACGTCTTAAGCAGCCGCCATGCGACCCATGTCTGACCACGGAGCACAGCCAGAGATCGAAAGTGTTGATTTTTGCGGAGGGAGGAAAACCGGAGGGCCCGGAGAAAAACCCTCGTGGCACAGGAGAGAACCAACGCACAACTCTACTCACATATGGTCCGAGACAGGAACGAACCAGGGCCACATTGGTGAGAAGCGAGTGCTTTACGCACTAGCCACCCATGCGCGCACTAAACGCGCCAAGGGTTACCGAAATACGTGCAAGCCACAACTTGCAGCGTTCATCCATCTCGTTTTGTTTGCCAAATGAGTCTGTTTCAAACAAAGGTAGATTTTGAGATGCGGAAACAAGAAAGTCAGAATTTCTAAGTCTACATCGGACAAGTAATTGCAGGAGACTAGTTACCTGAGCCGAGTCGACGCATGAAACTATCGTGTGTAGTAAATCGGTACTCTCCGTAGTTGCATCACAAAACTGACAAAAAGAAAACGAAAAAGGATCGAAAACTTTTACGTCAAAATTTCGAAGAATGCAAGAATACGAAAAAACAGACTAAAGAAACGTGCTGTCTTAACAGCATTCACTTCAATTCTAAATTTTACTGAGAAAATTCAAATAATTTTTTGTTTCACGGAAGGGAATATATGGCCTTGAGTAGACTGGTGACCTGTCCTTATATCACACGTGTAAATGAGGGGAGGCAACACCTTCTGTGATTCTGAAAGCTGATTGGTTGCTATGTGCTAGCTGATGTAGCTTTCCTGTCGCCTGATTGGCCAACCGATCACACAGAACGTATAGTGCTTGTTTTTGTCCACGAGTGGATACTCAAACTTGACCCCTACATCTCAGGTCAGTAGGTAAACAACACGCTGGCCGTTATCAGACACTAAATCCGCTGTATAGCCCAAGTCACACATAACAGTTTGAGCTACTAATATACACGGTTTACTAAAAATCAACCAATCACGATGAACTGTAGAGATTCGTGGAGAAATCGACTTTCTAAGAATGCACTACGGATTCAGGACGGATGGCAACAACTGTCGATTACATCGAGGTTTGTCAAGAATATGGACAAACTGGTGAAGAATATCGACGGTATTACTAAGAATAATGACATTAATGCCACGGTTGTCTGCGATTGGGTCACGGATGACCAAGGTTCTCCTACGAATTAAGTGTAGTACAACCTTAGCAGAATCCTAGCATATCCGGGCATATCCATAGGACATTTGTAGCAAATTTCAACAATGAATGAGAAACAAATCTCCAAGAATATGTACAAATAGCCACGAGTAACACTACGACTTAGTACAGTTGTCCCGCGGTTGCACTACGGATGGATTTCCGTGATGTTTACCACGGAAGTTTCGAACAGTTTCAAACTTCCGTAGCCCCTCCACAAATACCCAAGGAAAATGACAGATAATCACGGAGGTACTAAGGATGAATACGGTACTCCCACGGTTTTATCACAAATTTAAAACTGTTGAGATCCATAGGTCCAAACCATAAATGCGTGACTGGGGTTTTAGAGAGTTTCAGGATTTTTATTGTGGGGGGGGGGGGGGGGTTTCTGACCAGACTTACCATTGTGTAGACCGGGGAAACAAGATAACACATCAATCTAACATCTTCTTCAGCACAAGCCTGTTCGGTGAAAAAAGACACAATTGAACATTATTTTTTTAAGATGTGATATGGGTGGTCATCCAGAAAAGTTTGGGTCCAAAATGTGACAATTTGTTCCTGTCAATACTTTGTTGTTTGCCATTCATGTATCATTAAGAATGACTTCAAACAATTTGTATTCGTTGTGTAGGTAGTTTGCTATTCATAATCACTCTTGGAGGATGACTGCATTAAGGAGTGCATCAGAATTATAAAATTATAAATGTCAGATGTAACAGGGACAGAAAAAAAAGTGGACCCCAAATGTATAGAATGAGCCATATGCGTAAGTTTTCCCTATGAGTGGGATAAACCAAACATAAATAATAATATGAGTTTTATAAAGCGCACGTGTCCACTAATATTGGTGCTCAAGGCGCTACATCATTATTACCCTGCTCATTAGGTCAATGAAACATTCCAAAGACAATCTCAGCTCCCTGGGGAGTATACAGCTCGGTGCAACCATTTCAGTACAAAGCAGCTACAATCAATCACAATAACAATCTCTGCCCTCACAGGTACCCATTTACTCCTGGGTGGGGAGAAGCAATGATTGACAAAGTGCCTTGCCCAAGGGCACACGCACCATGACCCCAGGCTGGACTCGATCCCACAACCTGCAGAATTACCCACAGGCCACGAGGCCGCTGCATTCATGTGGTGTCATGCAGTATCACTGAGGTCAGGGTTAAATGCTTGTGTAATCTTACCTTGAAGTCTCGGACTAGACAGGACGTGAGGTCACCGATGCCGGTGTTTCTGCAGACTTCCTCGTACATATGTAGCCGCCTTTCTCCCTGTTTGCTGCTGCTGGTGTTACGAAAAAAATGTATCAAATCAGTGACAGGTTTTTAACGCCCATTCATAAATACCTAAGACAGTTTACCCATTCCCATTGGTCGAGAGCCTGTCACGTGGTCGGTCTTAAACGGATGATAAAGACATGGCTGGCTGGTCTTAAACACTTTTCCAGTGTCACATGAAATTTGGACTCATATGAAATCCAGTGCCTTTACAGTTTTATTGGTTGAACGTTTTTTCCCACTTTCACTCGGAAGGTAACACACGGAGTATTCAGTGTTTAAACGTCAGGGAAGGGCAAAAAACCTAATTTGATTTATATCACCCCGACGCAACAAATTCCATCTTATAATGGTTGAACGTTCACAATCGTTCACGTAGGCATGCGCAATACTACCAGTGAGTCAGTATTGCATAGTCCTCAATTCACAATGCAACGCCCCAGGTGCATTCTGCGCGACATCATGCAGTACGCGCGACGCACGCGCCAATCTCTATAAAAGGAGTTGTTCACCTCTTCTTCGCGAGCTGGACACTCCATTATACAGAGGGGTGTTTAAAAAAAAAACAACAGTAAAATTGTTGAACATCATTGATTTTTTTTTTTATTTTGACTTGTTTTGACTTTTAGACTGAAAAGTTGGATATTTTTACCGAAATGGTATTTATGAATGGGAAGATACGCCTCGGGTAATTATCAGCATTCCAGACTCTAATCAGTCTTAGACATAGGGTTTAATACTGCCTAAGCACAGGATTACCATTTCTTGACTAGCAAAAACAAAAATTCTTGGGGATAAATTATTACCTTGCATGTAAGAAATAGAGTAGGTTATAGCCGATCTGGATTTGTTTCTCGTACATCATGCAGACTAACGTTAGGAGCTGTAACGGACACGAATCCTGCTCAGCGTCCGCGCTCAGATTCCTGTCGAAAGAACAACATGGCGAGCGGTGAATAGGTGGGACTCGAACCATGGACCACCTGACTACAAGTACAGCACCTTAACCATTACAGAAATATGCTCGGCCATGGTGAATTTATACTTGTGGGTGAAAAAAGGCAATTGTGGTAAAGTGTCTTGCCCAAGAACACTAGCACCATGTTCCCCGTCAGGGTTCGAACCCACGCACCTAGGCACATGAGTTAAACACCGTACCCATTGGACCACATCGCTCCACAACAGCCCTTTGGTATCGTTTCGGTTTGCGGTAACACAATGTGGTAATAACTACTGCTTAGATGATATTTAGTTCTGAAAAGAACTTGTCCTGCTTATTATCAACATTCGCTAAGTAGTTTTTGTTCTGAAAAGAACAGTCCTGCTTTAAGTTCCAAAAGAACTTGTCTTTTTGGTTTAGTACTTAAAGCAGGACTGTTCTTATCAGAACAAAAACTACTTAGCGAAAGTTGATAATAAGCAGGACAAGTTCTTTTCGGAACTAAATATCTTAAAGCAGTAGTTATTACCACATGGTGTTACCGCAAACCGAAACGATACCGATACCCCACCATGCAAGGCCTCAAATCTTATAACAGTCCTTTGTTTTTAAAAATTGAAAAAAATAAACTTGCACTTCCTAACATTTCCTGTATCATCTTCAAAACAGAAAACCACAATAGACACCAAAATGTGACTTCAAATCAACGTTTCCTTTTTCCAACCCCCTCCCCCACCCCTCCCCCTTCCATGTCTCATTTTAGGGCGTCAAAGCCTCTTCGCGTCCCGACCCTCTCAATAATCGGATCATTCCTGTCAGCTGTTTCGCGCCGTCAATTTCACCCCTGTCTTTAATTGGGACCGATAATGTGGCCACCCACCGCAAGACCAGACAAAATACATCCGGCATTATGACATCTGCAAAACTTAATCCAATTCTTTAAAAAAACATGTTCATTTCCACGCCCTCTGCATTCACCAGAAAATCCTTTCGTTGAATTTAATTACCTGTGTTGGGATTATTTGCATTAAAAAAAGTGGCTAACATAATTGACAGCGAAAGGTTCAATGACCGAAAACTGTCGTCTGTACTTGCCTGAATATTACACAGATGGGTTTCCCAAGTGAATCTTCCATTGTTCTGTAGAGATAAAAAAAAAAGAAGACTTTACGTAACGAAGGCCTGGCAAAAATGAAAGTGTTAAAACTACAGAAAACTACAGTAGAAACAAGGGCGAATCAAATTTTTTTTTTTTAGTGACGTCGCTTTAAAGGCAGGCACTGCATACACCACCATCTTTTCCTCCAAAAAAGATTGGTCAAAGTGGTCAGAAATTGCCACAAATCGCACCACGAGATCAAAGTCAGATAACTGGAATCCCCGCTTATTTTGAAGTCAAGAGAATGTACATGAATACCCCCCTCAAGTTTTGTTCGGCCAATCCAAAAGAAACCACCGTTGAAACACTCACAGAAAAAGTGTAAAAAAGATTATGAAACTTTTTACGTGAGTCATTTCTGCCCAACGTTTGGATACTGTGCGCACGCTGCCACTGTGATCAGACTACACACAATAACCAGCCCGTAACCGCAGCAATCCTGGCTTTCGAGTAGCCCGACTGCTACTGCTAGCCCAATTGTTTCTTTCGGACCGGCAGTGACTAAGGCACCTTTCGATCGGCTCAACCATGTTGTAGCTCCGCGTCCTTCGCAATTCTGCTTTTCATTCACTCATTCATTAAATGGTTTATTGAATCAATCATGACTTGCAGCTAAGGGCTGAATTGAATATGATTTACAGGTTCTGCTGCAAGTAAGGATGATTAGCCCCCCTCCCCCCCCCCCCCAAGTACAACTTACTCATCTGTGATTTCATCCGGCAATGTTTCACCCGTGATGTCACGTTTGTACAAACTACAGAGGAACGTGGCTAAAGGCCCCGCTATGTCGCTGTCAAAATCATCCTGAAATACAACGACAAAACGCAATCAATCAGGATCAGTTCAGAAATACAGTGCGAGTAAAAAAAATAATAATGCCCTCTATGTTTTCTTAAGAAGTTCTGCATGTAGCGCTTTTCAGATCTAAGATATAAAAGCCCAATTATTAAGCTTTCTTTTAGTGAAAGAATCATTTAAATCGCTCATGTACTTTTCCAGTTAAGGAATTTTGAACACAAACACCATTTTTTTAACCTTGTCCATGGATCACATAATTGGTACGTGATATTTCAGCGAAATGAAACCATGTCGTATCCTGAAAATGACATCAGAATATTCCCATAAGTCTCTGGGGTAGCCAAGGAGAATGCAGGGCAAGACTATGAACTCTTTAACCTATAAACTCTTGACATTATAAAGCATGCTTTTTTAACATTGGATGCAGTTAAAAAACTGTTATAAGTGCCAGTTATCATGGTAATTAGGGTGTTCTGATGTTCTGAATGATTCTTGTAATAAAAGAATGCTTATATGGTGGGCTTTAACATCCTAGATCTTGAACGTGCTACATGCTGAACTTCTTTAAAGAAAATAGGAGTTGCCATTTGGGTTGCCTTCTTTTTTTTTTTTACTTAAACCCTGTAGTTTACCAGGCGATTCCAATGCTAGGGAAACACATCTTAATTCTACAAATATAGCTTGTCTTACTTCTAGTTACAAGTCAGTTGCATGTGTTTTACATGTTCAGTCTATTTAACAACTTGACCTCAGATGACCTTAGACCTTGATGTGTGACCTTTGACATCATGAGCATTTGAAGGTTGCTATGTTGCATCTATGACCCAAGTTCGGTTCCAATTGGACTCCAACTTTTCAAATGAGACCAATTTGACATTTTCAGCCTATTTTACAACTTGACCTCAGATGACCTTTGACCTTGATGTGTGACCTTTGACATCATATGAAGGTTGCTAAGTTGCATCTATGACCCAAGTTTGGATCCAATTGGACTCCAACTTTTGAAATGAGACCAATTTGACATTTTCAGCCTATTTTACAACTTGACCTCAGATGACCTTTGACCTTAGTATGTGACCTTTGACATCATTATCATATGAAGGTTACCATGTTGCGTCTATGATCCAAGTTGGGTTCCAATTGGACTTGAACTTTGTAAATGAGACCAATTTTACGAAAGTTTAGCCAAAATACCACATACATATTATGTACATACATACATGTACATACATTCGTACAAACATAGTCTCTTTTTTTAACAAAGTACAGGCGAGACAAAAATTAGTGAAAGGCATTCTCGTTGGAGTATTTAAGAAAGACAAATTTTTCATAATGCCTTGGGTCGTATGTCAAAGGTCAGATTAGCAAAGGTCACCTTGGGATGAGATTTCGCCTGATATGATTGGCACTTACCATTTCTAATATAACGCTACACAGGTTCTCCATCGTCTCACATTGGGTCTCAATATCTGAATCCCTGTATTGTAAAGACAATTCAAAAATTACTGAGAACATGAATTACCAGAATTTATCTCTAGAAATACTGATTAAAAATGCTATTTTTTTCAGGAGAACGAAATTTGTTGGATATACGGCTATACATCCCATCCGAAGGACGAAGCAATGATGGTAAAGTGCCTTGCTCAAGAGCACAAGCACCATATTCCCATGGTAAGGATTCGAACCCATGCGCCACAGCACACGAGTCGAACACCGTATTATCATTGGACCACAGCACCAAATTTTAAACTCAAGAATTGAAACACCGTAAGACAAATATTATTTTGAGCAATTGTTTAGAATGCATTGATACTGTTAATAATATCACCAAATATATGGATGTTAAAGGGAAAATATAACATTTGAAAACATCAAAAAATAAAACTACCAAATCATTTTGAAATACCTTGCTGGACTGTTAGTGAATGACAGTGTAAAGCATCCTGTAAAATCATGGCACCTGGTATACTGTCATTTTCAAGAAAAGTGGTATTTTTGTATCAATTTCCAACCGACCAGCGTTGGAAAAAAACTTGCCTTTTTTCAAATACTGGCCCCAATTGATCATCGCACTTGTTTGCAATCGATTACACACCTATGAACGGGTACAAACCAGCTAGACTGGTTCCCTGACCTTACAATTCCCCAATGTATGTAAACTGCTCTGTTTCTTCTTATATGGAGTCAGGGAACCAGACTACAGGAAAATGATTGTTTTTCTTGGTTTTTATAGCATTTTCGAACCCAAAACCCCCAAAAAGTCAGTGTAACTATATTTGCTATATATTTCCAACCCCCCAATTCCATCCATTTCTGAAAATTACAGCAAAAGCAAATGATGTATATTCCCTTTAAATGCACTTTGTCCCAACCCATATGGAATGACCCATATGCCTTGATATATCAGCCTCGACTCCATGGGCGCGTGCGCGTTCCTTCACTAACCCCTGGCCGTGATGAACACATAAACGACGCCGACTCGCTATTCAGAGCGTACTGCGTGCGCATTTTGAAGACTGCACACCCCTAATGCGCTCGCGAGCTTTGCAAGTCACGTCCCGTACCAATTTTTTCTTTTCAAAACTGCGCGATGCCTGTATGATATTGATAATGGCAGCCTCGTTTTTCACCCCCAAAAATCCTGTATCTTCGGTTGTAAAGGGACGAAAGGGGTACGTACATTCAATAAATCCTTGCTAAATAATGCGACGTCGAAACCTTATGTTTGAAAGGATTGATTCTTCAAAAACACAACTTTCAACATTTTAAAGATGGCGTGCGCGCCATCTTCATCGACTGCAATCCTAATTTATATTAGACAAATCCAGGGGTTAAGATCGCGCAAGGCATGATGGGAAACAACATGGAGCAGCAAGATCGTACCCATGGAAACATGGTTGTTGATATTAGGCCAAAAAAAAAATATTCGGTCTCTGGTCAGACCAAAGTTCCGGAATTGACGTGGCGACGCGGCTTCTTTTTTTTTTCTTCAAGCTTGGATTGTACAGACAAGGTGGGGTACTATTTTGCTTTTTTGGTGTCCTCATGTACATTGGTGTCCTCCATAGTTTGCCTTGGTGCTTTCGATCATTTGCCTTGGTGCAATTTCCCATTCCTTGGTGCTCTTTGGTAAAACAAATTGAGGAGGTGCGGCAATAGAGGGCGCTGTTGGAGCTACTGCGGAGCATTTTGAAGAAAAAAAAAAAGATCAACGCGCATGATTAAAATCGACGCTCGCGCTGACCAGAGACTGACTTATTTTTTTTTTTGGCCTTATGTTCGTTTGAATATGAGTATGAACTCTGACCCATTCCTTGGTGCTCTTTGGTAAAACAAATTGAGGAGGTGCGGCAATAGAGGGCGCTGTTGGAGCTACCGCGGAATATTTTGGAGAAAAAAAAAGATCGACGCGCATGATTAAAATCGACGCTCGCGCTGACCAGAGACTGACTTATTTTTTTTTTAGCCTTATGTTCGTTTGAATACGAGTATGAACTCTGACCCATTCCTTGGTGCTCTTTGGTAAAACAAATTGAGGAGGTGCGGCAATAGAGGGCGCTGTTGAACCTACCGCGGAACATTTTGGGGAAAATAAAAGATCGACGCGCATGATTAAAATCGACGCTCGCGCTGACCAGAGACCAACTTATTATTTTTTTGGCCTTATGTTCGTTTGAATATGAGGATGAACTCTGAACTCTGACCTCTGGCTTTGTAAGATGGAGCACATTTCTTTGATTTCACCGTCTAGTTGATCCAGGTACATGTCTAGGTCTATCTCCTCCTCTTGCTTGATGGGTCTGAAGACGGCAGAGTCTTGATTTCGTTGCCTCAAGGCTACAAGGAGAGAACATGGCTATCGTGAATAAGTACCCCCTCAACGGTAAGAAAGAGAGAGTTGGGGAGACAGCAGCCTCGACTCCAGGGGCGCGTGCTCGTTCCTTACAGTAACCCCTGGCTGTGATGATGACGTAAATGACGCTGAATGGCTATTCACAGCGTACTGCGCGGGCATTTCGAAGATTGCACGCCGGGCGCGCTCATAATGCGCTTGCGCGTGCTTAGCTTTGCACGTAACGTCATGTACGATAAAAAAAAAATGATTCAAAAGTCGCGATGCCTGTACGATATGGATTATGTCAGCCGCGTTTTTCGTTAAAAAAACCCTGTATCTGTGGTTGTAAAGGCACGAAAGGGGTACGTACATTTAATACAAATAATGCGCTCGCGCGTGCTTAGCTTTGCACGTAACGTCATGTACGATAAAAAAAAAATGATTCAAAAGTCGCGATGCCTGTACGATATGGATTATGTCAGCCGCGTTTTTCGCTAAAAAAAACCCTGTATCTGTGGTTGTAAAGGCACGAAAGGGGTACGTTCATTTAATACAAATCTTTGCTAATTAACACAACGTCCAAACGTTGTGTTTGAAAGGATTGATTCTTCAAAATCACAACGTTTAACATTTTAAAGATGGCGTCGGCACGTAAAACAGATAAACTGCAGCCCTAATTATAATATACCGTATTTTGGTATATTTAAATTACACAATTCCAGGGGTTACGATCGCGCAAGGCATGATGGGAAACAACATGGCGCTGCAAGATCGTACCCACGGGGCACGAGGTTGGGGAGACAGGGACGTTTGAATGCATCGCCAACGACGTCTGATGGTTTCGAAGATGCTATGGTTTTGTGTGCCTTCAGAAAACAAGTAGTCGGGCATACTTTGCGGTAAATCAGGTCAATTTGGGGAGTCAGGTTGGCGTTGGGGAGTCAGGTTGGCGTAGCGGTACTTTCCTCGCCTTCCCCCACTGTGACCCGGGTTCGAATCCCGCCTGGGCCAATATGTGGATTGGGTTTTCAGTCCCTGCCTGATTCCGTGGGTTTTCCCCAGAATATTCCTCTGGGCTTTTCCTCCCACCTATAAAGCTGTAATTTCTTCTCATTGTCTTCTCTCTACAGGTTTCTTCAGGCTTGCGAGCTACAGTGCCTAGGGCGCTTTTGAGGAATCCTTGGTTTCATTACCAGAAATGATTAATAATAATAATAATAATAAAATGTGTGCGAATTAGCAGGTTCGTTTTTAATGGTGTTAACAAGGATTTTCTATTGTTCCTCTTCCCTTTTCCTCTGTTTTTACTCTAACTTTTTGCAACAGCTCTCATTGGTTTTGTACACGTTTTCTAATCGAGGTCGTCCTCGATTTGAATCCTGTCCTCGATTCATCGATGATGTTGCATGTGTGTGTCCTCAATTTACACCATAAACACCATATGCGCACACAGTGTGTTCCGTCTACTGTAACAGTGGTAAAAGCGCCCTCTGTTGTCTGCGCATGGAGCTATAGTCATTTCAGACTGTCGGTCTGAAGATTTGAATGAAGTACGTGAAGAGTTGGACAACCGAAACACGTGCTACAACGCCAAAAGATCAATTATTGCAGTCATCGGAACGACATCACAGACTAATCAATGGAAAATTGTGGCCCTCCTGCGCTCGACCAATTTTTGAAAACTGGGATTTTGGATTCATTGAAAAGAACATTGAATAAGCTTTCTAATGATGTGCAGAATATGGGAATCGGACAAAATCTGATGGAGTCATAGGTATTTTTGTTTCCTAATTCTCAGGCCTCGGAAAATTAAAAAAATTCGAGAAACTTGTTACAGTTTCCCAATTGAATTCCTTAGGGAATTTACAAGTTAACTTCATTAACCCTTTCTCTCTGAGGGTAGTTTACTGCATGTCAGTTGGTTATGCCAATGCCCTCCAGCTGCAGTTAATTGGAGGATAAACTATCTTGACTGTGAAGGCTCCAATTGGCAGGAGTTGGAGGCCCTGGAGGGTGCCTGATACTGACCAGCTGGGGGCACTCACTTTGTTATCAGAGGACTCTCATTGTTCTCTGTGGCATGTATTGGAGTGCCTGTCCAGTTACCCTTGAAATGACATGGCAGATATTGGAGGGCCATGCAAAAAACATAGGAGATTTTCTTGAGGCACATATTGGCATGCGTTGGAGGGTCTAGTAGGGTAAGGGTTAAAAGTGAGATATATTCATTATTCTAACTTCTAAAGCCTACATCTACATGAAAATTTCAATAATTTTTCCTGTACAATATATATTATGGGCTGTATCTCAAAAAAATGGCTGTGCGACCTCCGACTTTTTTTGTGCTGAAGGTACTACAAGTACAGTGGAACGTCTCTATAACAAACATCGCGGGATCCATAGAAATTGTTCGTAATAGCGATCATTCGGTATAGCGATTTTAAGCTGCCGGTGCTCCGGTACTCACTTTTCAATAAATAGCGCTCTTCAGAACTTCACCCTGCACGCCCTAATAGTTATTGAAAGACGACTGCGAACTTGTGCCGACTATTGAATCATGTAATTACACAGTGTTTGAGCTTACTACAATGTACATCTACCTACAGCAATGGGTGGCTTTTCCCTTCTATGCCTTGGGGAAATAATAGCCACTTGTCGCTCTTCTGTTGACATTTTTCAACAACAATGTTTGGAATGTTTTGTACACTAAAATCGGGAGCCAAGGATGTTGCTCAGTATAGCCGAATGTTCAGTATAGCGGTGTTCGGTACAGCGACGTTCCACTGTAATACATGTTTGCCTAAAAAACAAAATGTATGCGAGGTATATTCCCAATATGAACATAGATTTATTTGGGATGCTTGTACTTACATCTATCTTCCTCCTCTTCGTCGCTGAACGTTGCATCTTCCGACGGTAATCTCTGAATCGGACCGTGATCGTTGTTGGCCGACTCTGGTTCCGTCTTTCCATCTAATGAAAAAAAAATAATTAACACAAAATCCAAGTCCATAAATTTAAAAACAAAACAACCTTGCTTAAATAAGTAATAACGGTGTGTATTTATATAGCGCACGTATCCACCAGTATTGGTGCTCAAGGCGCTACATCATTATTACCCTGATCATTGGGCCAATGAAACATTCCAAAGACAATCTCAGCTCCCTGGGGAGTATACAGCTCAATGCTGCCATTTCGGCGCAAAGCAGCTAAAATCAATCACAAAAACCATCTCTGCCCTCACAGGTACCCTTTTACTCCTGGGTGGGGAGAAGCAAATTGTGACAAAGTGTCTTGCCCAAGGGTACACGCACCATAACCCCAGGCTAAACTCAAACCCACAACCTGCAGAAATACCCAAAGATCTTGAGTTCAACGTTCCAGACAACAACCAATGGCACTCCATGACATCTAGTGTATACATGAACATAGAAAACACAAAAACACTAGCTCTAGACCACCCCCCCCCCAAAAAAAAACCACGATATGATCTTAATCTTGGACCGGAGACTTTATCCACTTACCTTCGGGTGGTAGTGCTAACATGGGCGTGGCAGGGGCGGTGGGTGTGGTGGGCGTCGTCGTACAGAACTCAGCAAACATGTCTCTCGTCATCGCTCTCAGCTCCCGGTCTAGTTTAGGGTTGTCAAAAAGTTGAGCAAGGGACCTAAAAATCATGGGGAAAAAATGACATTAGTGGCGTCACATTTTTGTGGAAATTGTCAAAAAGGGCAAAATGCTGGAGAATACAAACCATGGGCAGAGTAGACATTTGTAATTTGTGCATTTACTTTGATTGAACCAACAAAACTGCCCAAATCTAAAGACAGATCATTTATAACGAACCTGATGAAGTTTTAGCTCTGTGAATGCTGTATATTCCGAGAAAACAGAACAAACATAAACACAATATTCTGGATCTCGATTCCAATCCAAAAGTGGCCGAGTCATATTTTGAACTGCGCCCTCTTGTGACACAATCCCAAAATCAGCATTCGGGACATGACTTGTGATGGATTTGTGATGGATTTGTGATGACTTGTGATGACTTGTGATGACTTGTGATAGACTTGTAATGGACTTGTAATGACTCGAGATTGACAGGTGATGGACTTGTGATGGACTTGTGATGGACTTGTGATGACTTGTGATGGACTTGTAATGGGCTTGTAATGGACTTGCGATGGACTTGTGATGGACTTGTGATGACTTGTGATGGACTTGTAATGGACTTGCGATGGACTTGTGATGGACTTGTGATGGACTTGTGATGGACTTGTGATGACTTGTAATGGACTTGTGATGGACTTGTGATGAACTTGTGATGGACTTGCGATGGACTTGTGATGGACTTGTGATGGACTTGTGATGACTTGTGATTGACTTGTGATGGACTTGTGATGGACTTGTGATGGACTTTCGATGGACTTGTGATGGACTTGTGATGGACTTGTGATGGACTTGTGATGGACTTGTGATGGACTTGTGATGGACTTGTGATTGACTTGTTATTGGCTTGTGATGGACTTGTGATGGACTTGTGAAGACTTGTGATGAACTTGTGATGTACTTGTGATGGACTTGTGATGGACTTGTGATGACTTGTGATGGACTTGTAACGGACTTGTAATGACTCGAGATTGACAGGTGATGGACTTGTGATGGACTTGTTATGGACTTGTGATGGAATTGTTATGGACTTGTGATGGACTTGTGATGGACTTGTGATGGACTTGTGATGAACTTACGGTAAGACTCTCTTCTCCAGGAGGAATCTGAGGGCGGACATGACGCCTTGCTTGATCTGCTGCTCCAACGGTGGATGAAGATTGGGAATTATCTGCAAAACAGAAACAACCATCGTCCAGATATTAACCCTAACCATCCCAAATCCTCCAAAATCCTCTTTGCAAAATGGAGGATTTTGCAGGATTGAGGCTACATGGCAAAAAAGTGTGGCTGATTTCGAGGGATGCACTGTGTCAAGGTCTTGGGCCGGACCTTGTGTTGTTTATGCTCAGCCGTGCATAAATATAGGCCTGTGTTATACTTAAAATCCTCCACACTGCTCCAGGATGTCACTGGCTCTGGGTTGTTTAACGTGCATTACACAACACACGGGACCTACGGCTTTACGTCCCATCCGAAGGACGAAGCAATAATGGTAAAGCGCCTTGCTCAAGAGCACAAGCACCATGTTCCCACAGTCAGGATTCGTACCCATGTACCACGGCACACGAGTCGAACACCCCAACCATTGGACCACAGCACCCCAATGTAAAAATGCCTAGGGAGTTAATTAACGTTTTTCATTGTCCATTGTGATTGACTTACTCTGCAGAGGAAGTCCAGTAGAGTTGCCGTGATGGCAGGATGCGATCGCATAGAATGATGCATGACAAGAATAGCTGGCTCTGAAAAGAAGAGACAAGAATGAGAACCACCATTAACAGAAGGGATTCACACCACATCGTGGCACTATTCATTTGCTAGAATTCCTATCGTCACCGTTTTGACAAAGTGACGATATCACATTTTGCAATACATATGCCAACTTTGACATGAGCTAGAAACCAAACAAAAATTATTATACCCCAAATTTTTGGATATTTCGTAGAAAAACATAGGTATACTTTTCATCAAAGTTCGTCTTAAGGTCACATGATCCAAAAGTTCAAATTCAAGTTCAAAGTAAAGGTCAAAAGGTCATCATACTTCAAATTACTCTGACATGAAAAAAAATGGTAAATTTGGATTCCTTATGATGTTACCTTTCCAAAGCAACCAAGATCAACAAATTGAGCCGACAAGTTATGGAGATATGGTCATTTGAAAATTGGCGGCCACGCCCATCTTGACCAAACTTGCCAAACAATTGCGGGCGGAAGCGCGAAAAACCGTTTGTCCTATGGCACTAAAATTTAAAATTTTCACCTTTTTCAGCCTAAATATGAGCAAATTTGAAGGGGGTGGGGTTTAACCCATTGGGTGATTCGACACGGAATGACCCCATACAGAATTTAGGACTGTATTAGTGTCTCAAAAACTTCGTCTAGGCGACACAAAAATGAGTTTTTAGTGTTTCTGAAAACTGAAAACTCACCGATATCCATGATGTTGCCTCTCGTTGGATTGAAGAGTAGCCAATCATAAAACAGAGCTAGCTTGGCACATGATGCTGCAGCGTTGGACTAGAAAAAAAAAATACGGCAAGACTCTCAATCTGGTCCAAAATAACTTGGGAGAATGGGCTCCGTGCACAAGTACCCCCTCAACGGTAAGAAAGGGAGAGTTGGGGGAGACCACTGGGAGAGACATTCCAACGCATTGCTGAACGCATTTGACGCTCACATGAAGACGTTAGATGATCATGTACATTTAGGATAACATTTGTCGTGTGCACTTCGCGCTGTATATGCACAAACCAGTACGCACAAACGTTGTGTTTCCCCCTCCCTCCCCCTCTCCCCCCCCCCCCCCCCCCGACTCTCAAAAGTGGTCAGGAAGCTCCCTCATTGTTCCTTCACGGAGTGCATAAAGTGGTCAGGAAGCGCCCTCTATTGTTCCTTCACGGAGTGCATAAAGTGGTCAGGAAGCGCCCTCTATTGTTCCTTCACAGAGTGCATAAAGTGGTCAGGAAGCGCCCCCTATTGTTCCTTCACGGAGTGCATAAAGTGGTCAGGAAGCGTCCTCTATTGTTCGTTCACGGCATTCATAACACTTAATGGAAATTTTAACACTAGCATTTTAAAATGTATTCATAAAGACCTGAGATAGTTTACCCATTCCTTTTGGTCAAGTGCCCGTCACGTGTGTGGTTTTAAACCGCCGGTAAAACACCGCTGCATTCTGCACCACATCATACAGTACGCACCACGCACACGCCAATCTCCATATAAGGAGATTTTTAGTACTACGCGCACGAGGCACATATCATAGACATGGCCAGAGTGGTGTTTCACAAAACATGAAGTAAAATTGTTGAACAAAATCGTTGGAAATTTGAGGATTTATGACTTGTTTTGACTTTGTGACTGAAAGGTATTTATGAATGGGAATAAATATTATATATAAGCCGAAGGCTCCTAGCTTGTTTTAAACGTACTTGTTTAAAACCCGCCAAGCACACATTTATTCCCTTGTACAATAAAGTGTGTCACAAGGAAATCTAGTACCAAGCCTTCATTAGTACACATTCTCCACACAAGTCAAGTTACCAGACACACACGAATGTATTATGAAAACCTCAAGATGCTTACTGAGCATGTGGTGAGCAGCCAGCCAATCACAGCCCAGCGTTGGATGATTTCCGAGCACAGCACCTCATTGGACGGGTGGACCGTGCAGCAGATGTAGCGAATCAGATCGCAGCGTAACGACTGGCTCTCCGGCGTCGAGAGAAACTGAACGCAAAAAAAATGAAGAGAAAAAATTGAAAGAAAAATAACTGAAATTTGGTAATTACTATGTAAAATGGATCACTGCATTTCAGAAATTTTCTGGAAACCTTGCTAGAAACCTTCAAACATACTTTAGCAGAAATCGAACCGCAACCAATCATTTACACGTGCAGACATCCATGCATCGTTTCTATAATTTATAAACCTGCATGTTTTTCTTCCAGGACGTTCTTCCAGGACGAATTGTAATTCTCATTTGTTAAAAGTTACAAGTTTTTTTTTTTGTTTTTTTGTTTTTTTTTAATTCCATATAAGGTTTTGCCCTTCACTGAGTATACAGTGTTTATACGTCGGTGAAAGTCAAAACCAAATATTGAATTTACATCACCCTGACACAAATTCCATCTTATAAATATTTAATGCGGTACCCGATGCTACATCAGATTCGAACCAGCCAACCAATCCTGGCAAGCTTGGTGGTCGAGTGGTAAGACGTCTGCACTAGAAAGCAGGAGGTCGTGGGTTCGAGTCCCACCCGAGTGATTTTTTCCAACTTTCACTCGGGAGGTAACACACTGAGTATACAGTGTTTATACGTCTGTGAAAGTCAAAACCTAATATTGATTTACATCACCCCGACACAAATTCCGTCTTACGGATAACTTCTTTTTTAAAACTTATTAAACAACTTACTTGCTTCTGGAACCAATCTTGATATCTCTTCTGTTGACCAAACCGAACCTTTAAAACAAAAATGGCGGAAAACGAGTGCGAGTGCACAATAAGCTCTGGCCGTTTTGCATGAAAGTCTTACATAAAATCTATCCAAAAAAATCCCTGCCAGAGCTGAAAAAAAGCGATGCCCAAAAATGCGATGTCGATGGCACAAATGGAACACCATACTTTAGATTTTTATACATTTAAAGCTATTTGTGATAAATACCACGTGACTATAACTTACTGCACATCTTTTGCTTCCATTTGCAAACTTGTCATAAAAATCTTTCCCAATTGTTATCAAAAATTTGGTAAAGAACGTACTTTATTTTGTTTGCTTTTTTTTTGAAAATTACAATTTGCTAGTTATATTCAGTGGAAAACTTAGGGGGCTGATTTTGGTCAATTTTCCGTGCACTGACCGACCGACCATTCAAAATAGCAGAACATTAAACTAATAGTGAAACAGAATGGTCGATGTTTGAAATCGCCCTCTAAAAGCGAAAAAGATCGGAATTAACATAAACCAAATGTGCTGCTCAATCACTTAATTGATTGAACTGAAGTGGAATCGCATGCTCTGGTAGCGAAAATGAAACAGGAGTTCAGAGCGATTCTCAAATTCAGATGAAAATGTATGACCGATTTTCACAAGTGAATGAACATTTTAGGAAATTTACCACAAAAACCTGAGCTGATTTGGGGAAGAGATTTTACAGGCTACGTACCTTGGACGTGAGGAATATAATCTTCTTCTCCATCTCTGGCGTGAGTCGGCAGGCCAGGTATTTGGGGGACGTTCTCTGGCTCATAAGCTGAGCCACTCCTGAAAATATGAGACCAAAATAATACCAGAAAATGAATTAAACTGCTGCAAACTGCTTTCTGACTGGCTAGACCTGAAATATACAAACCAACAAAATTAGCTGGCATGACGTTTCGGTCTTAAGCGAGACCTTTCTTTGCCTTTAGAGAAAGGTCTTGCTTAACAACTTGACAGCAGGATTATTTTTGGTAAAAAAAACCATGATTTTCAATCCGTGAGGGTTGGGTGAAAAAAACGTGTTGAATCGACACAGAATGACCCTTAAAGGGACACTGCGTCCTGGAATACACCAAGTTGGGCTACAAAACGCATTCTGAACGAAATTATGTTAATCAGGAAGAACATTTAAAAGTAGGACATAAATATCCACACAACTATCCTTTAAAAACTAGGTGCTTTTGTAGTATTCTTGTGTTATTCGTGCGAGAACGACTTTCAGGGGCCATTTTTGCGACCCCAAAAAGTCGGACTGTTCGTGCTAGTTGTGATTCCAGCCGTAAGGGTTCGCCTTTTGCGGACGTGTAAGAAATCACATTTTGTGCATTGGCGATTGGTCACCGCTGTTCGTGAGTACGCTGCTGTGTACGTGTGTAATACTAGACACACACAACGTGTATCGTACATTGAAAGAAAACGACAGGAAACACATATCATACTCCGTCATGTCTGATGTAAACAATCAGGGTTTTTTTTCGTCTTTTCTCGGGAACAGTAAGACATTAGGTTGGTTTCCTTTCAACCAGATGTTTGAAATAGGATAAGTAAACAATCCAAAACATGACATTTTCGGGGATTTCAGGACGCAGTGCCCCTTTAAGAGCAAACTTATGGTCTGAAATTTAAAAAAAAAAAAATCGACAGTAGTTTTTGAAAAAGAAATTGAAAATATCATAATTTTTGGATATGGACCTCACCTGTGAACTGTGGATTTAAAGACTGCGGCCTATGGATCATGTCCTTCCACAGTTTCTCAAATTCTGGAATCCTCGCGACGTTCTGGAGTAATCTCAACAAGTCACGACCTATTCTGCAGCATTCCATAAACTATGGTGACATTAAAAATAAAACAAAATCTTTAGTTCTTTCCAAAATAATTTACATATCTCATTTTTCATCACAATTCATCATGGATACTCAGGTAACTTGTTCTATTGATTGTAATAAGCAGATAGCCTGATTGTAATAAGCAGTTAGCCTGATTGTAATCAAGGGCGGATCCGGGGGGGGGGGGGGGCCAAAGCCCCCCCCCCCCAAAAAAAACGAAACCAATTTTTTTTTTTTATGTGACATCGCAATAAAGGCAGGCAATGAGTACACCACCATCTTTTCCTCAAAAAAACATTGGTTAAAGTGGTCAGAAATTGCCTCAGATCGCACCATAGAGCATCTAGAATCCAAAATCTCCAACATCTTAGTTTTTACTAAAGTTATGGTAAATTTGGTTTTATCTAATCTCAAAATAAACAGCGCCCTCTCTCAGATGTATTTATTATTCATGATGCTGACCTTTGACCTAAGCAGTCCGATGCAGAAATCCACCTCTCTCTGACGCAGGCTAGCCAGCATTTGTGAGCTGTGGTCTTCAATGACCCGTAGATATGTGTACAAGACCATGGCCATTAAGACCGGGTACTTGTCCAACCACGCTCTGTCACCAAAAAAAAAAAAAATTACAGCGTGTGTCAATAAAAACGCAGGATTCAAAGCGATTTTTTTTCTGAGAAAATTATGCTACTGGTGTGCCTAATTTGATAAGGATTTGATTGTCCATAATTTCATCTTTGACAAGATTTTTGTTTGGTGGAATTTGGACTTTTGGTTCAAAAGTTATGACAAGTTTTGTGAAGCCCTTCTGAAGCGGGTTGGTCTGATTCAATGACCTTAACACAACGACCAGTTATGTACAATGCAGGTATGCATTGAAGACAATTAAACCAGAACAAAACTTTCTTTGAAACTGATGATAAGTATCACTTAAATTTAATAACTGGACTATCATTGTTTCAAAGCATCATGAATTATTGACTAATAACATTGATTGTGGACTAAAGGATTATGTAAGCCTAATCCTGCCACACATGTCCTTCTTTGTGATCCACAAATACTTTCACCTGTACTGAATTCAAACCTTTCATTAGGTATGTGTGATTTCACAAATCAGACCAGCTTGGAATTTATAACCCTTCTTCAATGTACTCTATCTCTGGACAGGATTGTCCAAATGAGATGGGATAAAAAGCATAGTGAAGAGAAGGAAAGGTACTTTGAAAAGAGGGTTAACATTATGATGAATAGGGGTGGTTTATATTCTTAATATTTTTGTTTCTAATCCTGCGTTTTTATTGACACACGCTGTATATATAAAATAAAACTAAAACAAACAAACGAAGAGGATCAATAATTTCTGAAGAAGAAAACCACAATTTTGTCACTGAAAAGCTGAAACTTGGCACAGGAAAAACAATACAGGAAAACAGTCCTTTTTGTCAGAATTTAAAAGTAAAACATAACAACAGTATTTTTTTCCTGCTGACTTTGTATTTACCGACTGCGAGTTTAAAATCTTTACCTTGGAAACATTGCAAATTTCTGTTTCTGACTGAAAGCAATGTTTGGAAACTATGCTTACTCAGCCAGCTCACATACAAACAAATGATCAAAACAAAATTTAAAGAGGCCATTCAGACAAATGAAGAAATACTTGTAGATTTCTTTGTAAGAAGTGGAGCTTACTTATTTTCTGTGAAAAGATCCAGCATAGCTTCAGCAAGCCAGACGTTCTTTGGATGGACGTCACCGCCTGTGGGAAAGATAATTAAATTGTGTTATATGAGACTTAAGTACTTAAGAACAATAAAATAGTGTAATTTCTAGACCATCAGTTTAGGGGTACTGTACGCTATTTTATTTCTAGTCTTCTGCACTTCACCCCCCCCCCCCTTCAAGTTTGGCAAAACCACTTTTGCCCATAGACAATGGTACCCACACTTCAAATTCCTTAGTCAAGGGATTAGGCCAAAAAAAAAAATCTCTGGTTTCTGGTATGCGCGCGCGTCGTCGTAGCCATGCGCGTCGGCAAAATGAAAAAGTTTTTTTTTCAATGAAAGATGATGTCTCAAAACCGCCAAACTCACTGGTTTGACTGGAATCCTGCTGCTGCACAATTTTAACGTGTTTTTAGATGGGGTTATGATCGAGATAAGCTTTATGTGGCCTCTCTGGTCTCCCATAATATTTGCACTAAGTTTAGTCGGGCACCATTTGCAGTCATCAGCCGACATTTGAAGCAAAAAAAACAGGTAAAAAAAAAAGAGAGGGCGTTATCACGACCAACCAATATCACTCACGAACCCATCAGGAACAACGCCTAGGGAATCTGGTATTGTTTGTGTAACACCTGTTTGGCCTAATATATGCAGCGCACATTCAAAACATTTCATTGTGGTTCCGAACCAAACTCTTAAATTTCTCCCGTTTGTACAGAAGATGCAGCAAGACTTTTGTGCAACTTCACTGGTCAGCTCTTTTGCGGTGTGTAATATGCGTGGGACTGAAAAAGACCATAATTGCCTGCAGAAGTCGCGCATGCGCACTAGTTTCCCCCATCTTTCGGGGGGAGATTTTACAAATTTTCCTAGACGTTGTTCCTGATGGGTTCGTGGGTGATATTGGTTGGTCATAATAACGCCCTCTTACGGCGGCGGGTTATCGCAGCGGAGGGTTATCGCGTATCAAATCATAACAACGTCTAGCCCCTAAGACTACAAATTCCTTTGAGGTAATCTTCTGTGGAGTATGGATAACACTTCGAATCTCTGCACAATTCTTTTTTGTGGTTAAGCTCAGGGCAAGCAGGCAGATTCAGTCACGCTTCACTGCTCTCCACAGTGCTATTTTTTGTGTGTAGTGACTCTCTGTGTGACACAGTTACTTTGACACTTCAAATTCCTTCACCTTAAAGAGGTTGTGGAATGCTCGAAGACATTTCTGTCATTTTTTGGGTATATGTAGCAGAAGGTATGATGAAATAAAAACGACTATTGTTTCTGTCATGAAATGAGTACAAAGGGTACTTTTGAGAGCTATTTTTCAGGTCCTGTTTCGACCTGAACGTGCAATCTGTGTAAAAGTCGTCGTTGCGGGCAGCAAACAAAACACAGTAAATCGTGACGTAATAAACAGGACTCGTTTATGCTACTCTGCATCGGGAGTCCTGTTTATTACGTCACGATTTACTGTGTTTTGTTTGCTGCCCGCAATGACGACTTTTACACAAATTGCACGTTCGGGTCGAAACAGGCATGACAGGACTTGAAAAACAGCTCACAAAAGTACCTTTTGTACTCATTTCATGACAGAAACAATAGTCGTTTTTATTTCATCACACCTTAGGCTACATATACCCGAAAAATGACAGAAATGTCTTCGAGCATTCCACAACCTCTTTAAACCACTGCTATGACGTCACACTATTGTTAAAAGTGTGGATTTGGAACTACGAATCTGTTACACTGGTCACAAAGTGTGGATTCAGAACGACGAATCTTTAGTAAAGTGTGGATTCGGAATTACGAATCCACACTTTGAACACGTCGGACCATTGTTCTCCATAATGAACATTAATAGGACCGTCCGCATCAAAACTTTCCTTCCGAAATGACCAATGCATCTTCACTGTCAGATTCTCCGCCGTCACTGCAAAAACTACTTTGATTCAGAAAGAAATCGTCGTCTGAACTATCCATGTTGAGGTAAGGAGCCTACACACAAAATTACTTGGTTGTACGGGTGTGGCGATACACATGCTGAACACGCCACAATGCTTGATTACGTATAAGACCCTCGAAAAAAATTCCCTTGTAAATTACCCTAATGGCCACGACGCGACACGAGATATGCAAGTCTTTTCATCTCCACTCACTGGACTGTTAATGACAATACTTCTTTTGACGCAATGGTTTAAAGGGAATGTACATCATTGGCTTTTGCTGTAATTTTCAGAAATGAACTTATTTGAGGGGTTAGTATAAAAGATCAAATATTGTTTAACTGACATGATTGAAGTTTTGTGTTCGAAAATGCTTGAAAAACCAAGAAAAACTAAAATGTTTAAGTAGTCTGGTTCCCTGACTCCACTAAAGATAAAATGGATCAATTTATAGATGTCGGAAAATTGTAAGGTAAGGGAACCAGTCTAGCTGGCCTGCACCCGTTCATGAACATGTAACCAATAGCAAACAAAATTTGGACTGAAAAAAAGAAATTGTAAATTTGGAGCAGTAGTTGAAAAATAGTTAGGTTTTTCCAATGGTGGTCGGCCGACCACCGTTGGAAATGTATACAAAAATACCATTTTCTTGAAAATGACTTGACACCAGGTGCCATAATTTACAGGATGCTTTAGACTGTCATTTACCAACATCCTAGTAAGGTATATTGTAAAAACTTGGTAGTTTTATTCTTCGATGTTTGCAAATGTTGTATATTCCCTTTAAGTCAGAGAATACACTCGCAAGTGTGGATTCCTAATTGACGAATTCACTCGGACTTACGAATCCACACTTTCTCGTGTATTCTCCTAAACTGAAACTGGCCTGCAAGGTTTTAAAGGGTTTTACATATTGCTCTGAATATTGACTTTCCACTAGTAGGGTTAAAGGGAATATACATCATTTGCTTTTGCTGTAATTTTCAGAAATGGATGGAATTGGGGGGTTGGAAATATATAGCAAATATAGTTACACTGACTTTTTTGAGGTTTTGGGTTCGAAAATGCTATAAAAACCAAGAAAAACAATCATTTTCCTTTAGTCTGGTTCCCTGACTCCATATAAGGAGAAACAGAGCAGTTTACATACATTGGGGAATTGTAAGGTCAGGGAACCAGTCTAGCTGGCTCGTACCCGTTCATAGGTTTGTAATCGATTGCAAACAAGTGCGATGGTCAATTGGGGCCAGTATTTGAAAAAAAGCCAGTTTTTTCCAACGCTGATCGGCCGATCAGCGTTGGAAATTGATACAAAAATACCACTTTTCTTGAAAATGACAGTATACCAGGTGCCATGATTTTACAGGATGCTTTACACTGTCATTCACTAACAGTCCAGCAAGGTATTTCCAAATGATTTGGTAGTTTTATTTTTTGATGTTTGCAAATGTTGTATTTTCCCTTTAACTGAAACTGACCTGCAAGGTTTTAAAGGGTTTTACATACTGCTCTGAATATTGATTTCCCACTAGTAGGGTTTAATCTCAACGAAAGTACATCGGCTAACGTTATCACATGGGGTAGGCCAAAAAGGAAAACTTTCGACAAAGTTATGGATAGAACCTTACCAGCGATCTGTTTTATTAGCGAGGAGCAGACGTTGACCACACCTGTGACTGAATTCTTCACCATCTCCTTGGTTACCCATACAAGCTGCGGCCAATCAAATCAAAGAACAGATCGGTCAATGAACCAAAATAGGACAAATATATTTAGCGGAATATTGCAATTTGGAATTGTCAAATATAATAATTGTAGGGCTGTTATTTTCTAATAATTTTGTATGCGATTACTCGAAACTGTGTTTGACTGAATATTTGGATATTCGAAACTGCCAACTGCAACTGCGTGCAGCGCCGTTCAAAAGTTACATGCAGAGTGCGCCAGTTAAAATTTACGAGCACAGATCGATATGGAGTGTTTTGCAGGACTTGTGATGGGCTTGTGATGGACTTGGGATGGGCTTGTGATGGGGTTGTGATGGGCTTGTAATGGACTTGGGATGGCTTTGTGATGGGCTTGTGATGGGCTTGTGATGGACTTGTGATGGGCTTGGGATGGGCTTGGGATGGGCTTGTGATGGACTTGGGATGGGCTTGTGATGGACTTGTGATGGGCTTGTGATGGACTTGTAATGGGCTTGTGATGGACTTGGGATGGGTTTGTGATGGGCTTGTGATGGACTTGTGATGGGCTTGTGATGGACTTGGGATGGACTTGTGATGGGCTTGTGATGACCTTGGGATGGGCATGTGATGGGCTTGTGATGGGCTTGTGATGGATTTGTGATGGACATGTGATGGGCTTGTGATGGACTTGTGATGGGCTTGTGATGGGCTTGTGATGGGCTTGTGATGGACTTGTGATGGACTTGTGACGGGCTTGTGATGGACTTGTGACGGGCTTGTAATGGATTTCTGATGATGGACTTGGGATGGACTTTGGATGGGCTTCTGATGGGCTTGTGATGAGCTTGTGATGGACTTGGAATGGACTTGTGATAGGCTTGTGATGGACTTGTGATGGGCTTGTGTTGGACTTGTGATGGACTTGGGATGGACTTGGGATGGACTTATGATGGTTGCGACTGAATAGAGAAACATAGTTTGCCTACCTGCGTCCGGACGCCATCTTGAAGCTTTGTGTATTTATCGACGACGATCTGATTCAGTTTGGTCCAAGCGACGGACAACCCATCTCTGGATATAAGTGCCAAGTCTCGATAGGTCTACAACAGACAAGATGAAAAAAAAAATGTTTTAATACGAGGTTTTGGCAATTCATTAAAATAAAATTTATAGGCACTGCATGTAAGTCTCGACATTACAACATTATGATGGTAAAATGGAACAAAATTTAACTCTAACTCCCTAGGCATTTTTGCTAGGATGCAACCTCAATCTTGTAAAATCCTCCAACTGCCTCCATGTAAAAAAGGCAACGAGGTTTTTGCAATTCATTGAAATAAAATGTATAGGCACTGCATGCTAAGTCTCGACATTACAACATTATGATATCAAAAAGGAACAAAATTTAACCCTAACTCCCTGGACATTTTTGCTAGGATGCAACCTCAATCCTGCAAAATCCCCCGTTATTTCTTGAGTGCGGTCCTTGGAGGGGTGACCACTGCCTCAATCCTGCAACATCCTCCAGCAATCACTGTCAATATGTTGAGGCAGAGCCAGTGACATCCTGGAGCAGTGTGGAGGATTTCAAGTATCATCTAGGCCTGAATTTATGCACGGCTGAGCATAAACAACACAAGGCCCGGCCCAAGACCTTGACACAGTGCATCCTCATACATCAGCCACACTTTTTTGCCATATAGCCTCAATCCTGCAAAATCCTCCATTTTGCAAAGAGGATTTTGAAAGATTTGGGAAGGGTAGGGATAACGATGGATTTAAATAAAAAATAAATAAATACAAATAAGAATCTGTTGCTACCTTTGGAGCAGTCGTCGGGCTGGTCAAAATACTGTACAGGAGTCCTAACGTGATATCTTCGTGTTCTTTCATCCCTTTACAAACCTGTTGATGAAAAAATTACGTAAATTTTTTGGAACCAAAACAACTTTAGGTTTACAATATGAGACCGACTCTGTGACAGAGAATTAAAACAGGCATCAAGAAACAAAATACTAATAGTAAAAACCCCAAATAAAAAAAATTAAAAAATCTCCTGTTTTAAGGGGGATTGTGGAGTTACAACCCCATTAAAACAAGAGACCAAAAATCTACTCTTAAGCATTTTGGACTTACCTATATGACAATGAACCATGTTGAATAAGGCCAAGTAAAAAAAAAACCAGTTGATCGTCCGGGTTTTTGCAAAAAGAGGAGGATGAGGGTCTTTTGGTTTTTTTTTTTTATTTTGTTTCCAAGATGGTCGCCAAGTACTAATTAAAAATGGCTGCCAACTTCGGTTCAAAATGACTGCCAACTTTTAATTAGCTATCCTAATAGTAAGTAGAGTCAAAATATTCATGTTAAACATGTTTTATGTATTTTATTAAAGTGAAATACAAGATGGTGAGAAAAGAAAATAACAAATAAAAATTATGATGTGGCTTCCAAAAAGGGTGCGGGCAGAGACAATCAACTGTTTTTGTTTACTTGCCCTAGCTGAAAGATTAATTTTGTGGAAGGAGGGCAGGGTTTTGATTTTCGAGGGAAATTAAGAGGCAAAAATGACGACGGCGACAAAGGAGAACACTGAAAACAAACATGGCGACAGCCGTGTGTGTATCATGAGTATGTCGATACGCACGGTCGCAACTGGAATATCAGGTTAAAGAAATACCCAAAATACCGTTTAGAATTTTTTTAAAATACACGTTTTGCCTGAGGTTGTAAATGCCATTTTGGAGCGACAAAATCTTTATAAGAATGAAAAGAATGTGGTGTCCTAAACTCCACAATTGGCATTTTAAGCCATCATCATCATCATCAATTCCGCATGCTCGGGAAGAGAGTAGCGTCTCGACAACACAGTTTCCAGTCCAGCCGGTTCTGGACAAGTCTCCGACCGGCTGACAGATTCAGCCCCAGTGCCCGGAGGTCTCCCTCTACGTTGTCCGTCCAACGCAAATGGGGGCGACCTCTTGCACGTGGCCAGTTGAGGGCAGGCTCCTTCAGCAGAAGGGCAGGCTCCATCGGTTGATCGGTTCGAGCAACATGCCCAAACAGGCGAAGACGTGAGACGCGTGTGAGATGCAAGACCGGAGGTTGATTGGTGAGAAGACGGAGATCTTTTTTACTCACAAAATCCTGCTAATTAATACCCTCGAAACGGCAGAGGGCCTTTGAGTCAAAGGCATCCAGCTTTCGTTTCATTTGAAGCCAGCAGCTAGCAGAATATAAAACTTGCAAAACTTCCACGATTCAAAAATGCAATTCTGAGTATTAGCGATCATGTTAGCTCTCAAGTCAAATTTTAACTTACATTTTCTACCAACTTTTTGTCTCAGTGAGAAAATAAATAAAGCCTAGATTGAATTATTGGAGGGATTTTTTTTCGTACTCACCACCGCATTTAAAGAATCGTGAGCCTCCCTCTCAGATGAGCTTCCCATCACCTTGGTAACAAACTCGTAACCTTTCTCCATTTTCTAAAAAAAACACCACGAAACAGAAAACAAGGGGGAATACATATGTAAACTCATTAAATCAATTCTAGTAAATGATAGTAAAATCATCCACTAAAACATTTAAGGAAATGTAGAAAAAAATAAACCAATTTCTTGTCCCCGCCCACTTCTACTTTCACCACCGCCTCCTTTAGGCCAAAAAAAAAAAATATTCGGTCTCTGGTCAGACCAAAGTTCCGGAATTGACGCGGGGACGCGGCTTTTTTTTTTTTTTGCTTTTTTTTTTTTTTCTTCAAGCTTGGATTGTACAGACAAGGTGGGGCACTATTTTGCTATTTGGTGTCCTCATGTACATTGGTGTCCTCCATAATTTGCCTTGGTGCTCTCGATCATTTGCCTTGGTGCAATTTCCCATTCCTTGGTGATCTTTGTTAAAAAAAATTGAGGAGGTGCAGCAATAGAGGGCGCTGTTGGAGTACAGCAGAACATTTTGGGAAAAAAAAGATTGACGTGCATGATTAAAATCGACGCGCACGCTGACCAGAGACCGACTTATTGTTTTATTTGGCGTTATATATATTTTTTAATTTGTACATTTGCAATACATTTTAATATATTGCCAACATAGGCCTATAGTCTTCTTAAATTGTTTCCGACAAAATAGATGCTTAATGTAGACAGGGTTACGGCTCCTTTGGACACAATTTTGTATCAGCGAAAGAGTAAAAAGTGGAAGAATCCATCTGCCATCTTAGAAAAAATCTGCCATCTTGGGGGGAAAAAGAGGAAGGAAAAAAGCGCCTGCCTCCTTTTTTTTAAAGGCTGGACAAGAATTTTTTTTATTTGGCCTGAGCAGGTTTTACTTTTCCAGGCTCCTTAAAACTGAATGTCATTTTTTTTAAAAGATTTTGGACAAATAAAGTCAACCTACATGACCTATTACAAGTACTAGTCCCCCCCCCCCCATTAAAATTTAAAAAGCAAACTTTCACAGATCTGGCACTTTTAACAAGATAAAATTTGACAGCTTTTTCTTAGGTTTACAGTCATGACGATTTAATAGTGTTAATATTATAATTTAAATGATGTGATAGTGAAAACAGCAACCAAAATCTTGTTCTGAAAGGTAGGGCTCAACCAATTCTCAAGAATAAACCCAAGAAAATAAACAAACCAATCTCCCTCAACAACAACAAAAAAGGGTAAAACCGAAATTTCCAAAACATGCCAAAATGGGCTAAGAAATAGCCAAATAATTTTAGTCATTAAAATTTGTATCCATATCAATATCATACTCTAAAATTACAAACTTGTTTCCTGGTTTAACCTTTTGTTTTCGCAAAATGTAAAAAAAAAGTTGCTCTAAAAATGCACCACACAGGCCGCGCAGCGCGCAGCGCGCAGCTGTTTATAAATGGGTAACAACACAAAACTCAACAGCCTGATGCCAGCATACACAAAGTTTATGGCGACCGAATTGCCCATTATCATGCTTGACCAACACCAGACCAATATCGAAAATAATACCTCCTCAAGGTCATCTCTCAGCTCAATGGCTGAAGCGATGAACAGTTTTGATTTCTTTGCTTCCTCCATGGCGGTAAAAATCATGAAATTGCGAGCGATTCGTCGTGAAATGTAGCAGAAAGTAGGCGATCAGACCGCGGGCTTCATCTCGTGTCGGCGTCCATTTTCCCTAACTTGCGCCCTCTATCGGTGATATTTAGCAAGTGCGGTCGCAAGAGTGCCATTCTTTTTCCAGCGGGTTAAAATGTCAGGCTCGGCGATCGGCCATGCATTACTGACAAAACTTATTATAAGAAGTCTCAAAAGGACGGAGAAAAAGAATTGGAAAACGTAGATATTAAAAACTACTGAAATTGTAATGAACAACCCAGACAGGAAAAATACCCTAGTGCTGTATGTTTTGGTTGCCGAATTTTGTTTGCGGGGGGGGGGGGGGGGGGGGGATCGGGGCTTACAATTTAATTTCACGTTGAATCATGGAGGTAGTGCTTTTTTATTATTTCTATTTATCAGTATCAGTACTGATAAAGTAGAGAATATAAATACTTCATTGGTCAATTTTAACCCTCAAAATCGTCACAACATCACAAAGTAGCCCCACCCACAACAACAGTTTGAGGTGTACATGTTTTCTATTTTGGGAATGACATCATCTGTCCTATCGACGTTTCTGATTGGCTGCTAAATATAGCACAGGGCTTCCACTTTAAAACTGGAGGTTCCCAAAATGGAGCAGCACTTCCAACACGTCCGTCTACAAAAACACGGATTTTGGCCGCTTCCCTTCAGAATCTGGAAGTGCAACCAGTTCGAAAACATCACTAACACCTTTGGCGTAACTTGAGGCTACAAAAATGTTGCTCGATGTGTACATTAAGTTGACTTCGGGTCGTGTTTTCCACATGCCCGTGTCGGCCTACGAGACGGTACGAGCCGTGTGCGAGAAGGTCGCGACGGAGGAAGGGGTGTCTGCGAGCTGTTTACGGCTGAAATACACGGGCAAAGTGCTCAACAAAGATCACACCATGGACTATCTCGGAGTTCGACCGGAGACTATTCTAAAAGCTGACGTAAGTCTGTTGATTGACGAATTTCAATTGATTTATTTGTCAGAAATATAAAACTTAAATAAAGTGATGGAGTTTTAATTAAAAAAAAAAAAAATCATGAATATAAATTGTAAGAGAATGTTACACTTAAAAAAAGGTACAGTAAGTTATTTAAAAAAATGATTTTTTTTTATGTTTTGTTACAAATCTGTTGACTGTTAGTGTTAGTCTTATGTCTCCACGGTTTTCAGTTTTCAAGGGAATATAAATGTCATTTGCAAACATGATCGACACGACAGTCCAAAGCATCCTGTCAAATCGTGGCACCTGGTTACTTCCAGAACTGTGTAAGTTTTTTTTACAAAAAAGTGGTATTTTGATATCGATTTCCAACGCTTGTCGGCCAACATTTTTACAGAATAATGTCGTGTTAGGATGTAAATTTTATTCCCGAGTGTCATTTTATTGATTTGTCAGAAATATGAAATATTAAAAGTGCATTTCTTAAAGAGTCTTATTAAAAGTTATAGGCTTATAAAAAAATGTTTTTAATTGTGTTTCCTTACTACTACTAAAGTACTTGTCTAATGACTGTCAGTCTGTACGGCCGGTTTTCAGTTGTATTTGTTTATTAATTGTTGCAATGGTGTCAGGGAACAAATGCTCCAAAAAATCCTGAAAATGCTAAAAGTGATACTTGATTTATTCATTTTATTCTATTTTTATTATTTTTCCCGTATTTGTTTTGGTCTTTTTATTGGAGAGAATGTTGCATCCAGACTCCACTTCAGCAGTAGTGTATAAAGTCTATGGGGAGTCAAGAAAATTGTTTAAATGTTTCCTAACAAAATTGGAAATGTTTCTCAGTCCCAGATTCATGTCTTTTCATTTTCAACATTTTTACAATGACTGACTTTTGTCTAGATGTAAAAAAGTGGCGTCATGTTGCAACATTCTGTCCTTTTTTATTAAGATATTTAAATTCAGAAAATTTCGACATGAGTTTGGACATGGTGTTCGTGTGTGAAGTGACTCAGATTTGTGTCAAATCGCACGTACACGTAGTTCATTTCCTATAGTTTGTCAGCAAGGATATCCTGTAGATTTACGCATGCTTCACAGGAAGTTGAAGAGGAAGTCCAGTAACAAGGGCGAAGGCCATCAGGGCCCAATTTCACGGCGCTGCTAAGCACACGATTTTCTGCTAACAGAGCCTTCGTCTATTTCAAGGAGACTGTAAGCATAAGCACAGCAAAAGGCACGCTTACTTCAGAGGAAAAATTTGCTTAACTTAGTGACGTAACAATAGAAATCTCCATGCACGCGCGACCGTTAGCACGTCCACGCCGTGAAATAGTGCTTAAGGTTAGCAAATTTTCTGCTATGCTAAACACAACTTTTCTGCTAACTGTTAAGCAGCGCCGGAAAATTGGGCCCAGGCCTTGAAAGGTTTTGAACTCAAACTTGGATGTGTGTGTTAACGGATGTGACGTTTAAACATTTAAACAAAAACAATTCTAAATTCATTTACAAATTTTCAAAAAATGTTTAAACGAAAACCCGAATTATAAAGAAGGGACCTACCCTATATGTTCACCCAGTCTTCCTTTGATTTAAACCTGCATAACACCTTTTTAATTTACAAAACCTTCAAAGTACTTTATTACTTAACTTGATTACATTTGGGGCACATGGTTAAGTTTTTACTTTTTCAATGACTACCACTGCTGTTTTATAATGTCAATGACGCCGGTCTGCAGACATAATGAGCATGCGTCAGCCTATGTGAATGTTTAAATGTTTAAAACGTTGAAAAACAGTTCTTAAAATATTTGCTAAATGTTTACAAATTTAAACGCAAAGTCACATCCTTAGTGTGGGTCACTTATTGGAATGTACATAACACAACATTGGCTTTTGTTGCAATTTTCAGAAATAAGAGTATTTGGAGGATTAGTATGTTTTAGCAAATATTGTTAAACTGACTTGTTTCACGTTTTTGGCCTGTAGATGCTGGAAAACCCAAGTAAACCAATTATATTCTTGTAGTCTGGTTCCCTGACCCCACTTAAGATGAAATGAAGCAATGTATAGACTTTGGGGAATTGTATGGCCAGAGTATCAATTTAGCTGGCTAGTACCCGTCCACAGGTGTGTAATCAATTGCAACGAAAATGTGGAATAACTAAAATGATAAGAAATATGGAGTAGTTTTTGAAAATAACCAGTTTTCTCCAACGATGGTCGGCCGACCAGCGTTGGAAAAATACAATTTTTCTTGAAAATGTCAGCACACCAGGAGCCATGATTTTACAGGATGCTTTAGTCTGTCATTCCCTAACAATCCAGTAAAAGTTATTCGGGATAACTGGATCATTTCGTTTTTTGATGTTTGCAAATGTTGTATCTTCCTTTTAAAGGAATCAAACATAAAATATCTTTCATTGTTAGAAGTTAAACAAAACCAGCGGAAGAAAATAAGGTCGGAAAAAATGAAGGAGGCCGGCGTTTTTTCGTCTTCTTTTTGTCCCCCAAAATATGGCAGTTTTTCCAAGATGGTAGATGGATTCTTCTATTTTTCTCGACTCTTTTGCTGATCTACAAAATTGTGTCCTAAGGAGCCATAACCCTTTCTACATGGCAGCTACAAATTCATTGGAAACAAATAAAAAGACAATATATTGACAATATATGTGCAAAATATATTGCTAACGTATAAATTGAATAAAAAAATTTAAAAATAGGGAGGCAGGCAAGTAAAAGGAAGTGGAGGGGACTTCAGAGAAACTTGTTTATTTCTTTACTTGGCCTACAGTTTAAATTTTTACTTATTTTAACCTTCTTTATTCTGACAAATAATTGATAAATATTTTAGGATGTAATTTTTTGGGTACAATAGGTGGACAATAAGGGGCACTCTTCATTGCAGCAAGCCAACAAATCTTTGAAATCACCTTTTTTTGGGGGGGGGGGGGGGCGGAGTGACTTTTCCGACCATCCCCCCCCCCAAAAAAAAAATGCCACTGCTTGCATATTTGAACTTGCTGAGTTCAGACAAAAGTCTTAAGACAGTGACATTCCGAAGGATTTATTTCTTCCTTTTTTTGGCCCCCTGCAGATCATACAAACAAAGTCTCTGACGATCCTCATCAAGTGCCCCGCTGGTGAGACAATTCCCCTCACTATCCAAAACATCACCACGCTGTCCGAAATCATCGCAAGAATCAAAGACAAGCAAGACAAGCAGGGACCAACCGACAGCAAAATCTACAAAATGAAAGTAAGTCAGTTTTCAAATACTGCAATGAAATTATAGCCATTTCCTGTTCAAGGTGCATTTCCAATGTGAAATTGTGAGCGGAGTTGAGAACAAGTCTCCCAATTTCTGCAAATTTCTTCTTTTTTTTCACCAGTTTCACTATTTCTAAACTTTCCCCTTTCATCTTTGATTGTGCTTATTATGTGTCATTGTGACAGCTAAGTTATTATATTTTAACCCTAACCGCCCTGAATCCTCCAAAACCCTTTTTGCAAATTGGAGGAATTTGCAGGATTGAGGTTACATGGCAAAAGTGCGTTGCTGATTTCGGAGTACGCACTGTGTCAAGGTCTTGGGCCGGACCTTGTGTTGTTTATGCTCAGCCGTGCATAAATTTAGTCCTTGATTATACTTGACATCCTCCGCACTGCTCCAGGATGTCACTGCCTCTGCCTCAGCCTATTAACAGTCATAGCCGGAGGATTTTGCAGGATTCAGGCAGTGGTCACCCCTCCATGGACCATATTCAAGAAATGGCGGAGGAATTTGCAGGATTGAGGCTATATGCTATTTTTCCATAAGGCCAATTGGAGGATTTTGCAGGATTGAGGCTACATCCTAGCAAAAAGGCCTAGGGAGTTACTCTGGCATTGTCAATAAAAAGAATTCTTATTTCATGTGTTCCTCAATCAAACACAGCCAAATAAAGTGGTGAGAGCCCCTTTAGCCTGGGTCAAACTACCCTAAAAGTCTTAGCCAAACCCCAGCCCTCTGACAAGAACCGCATGTTGGTCCCTATAGTGAGTCTAGTCCAAATATTTGGGACTCTCAATACTAGAGTCCCAAAACTTAAGGTACTGAAAA